AAATGCAAGGTTTTCGCACGCAATCGCATCTCGAGGCAGCGACCGCAAAGAGGCACCTCCGGATCATTCACACTGGATGAGCTGGTGCCTCGGGTTTGACTAGTTTCGAGAGAATGGCCACGCACAATGATAGTAAGCCATGTAATGGTTTGCCGACCTGAGGCCTGAGGACCCTAACAGATGCCAAAGGAATATAGCCTAGCCCTTATCACAGGGACCCCCAATATGGTTTGTGTTCAGGCGTTGTGTGCTAGAGTTTCTGCCGCTTGCAGTTCGGCCTTGTTTCACGATGGGGGTGGTGGTGGCACTTTGCTACTGCGTTTGCGGCCTGGCTTGGCGGCTGAAGGTGCTTGACCATGCTGTGGTGTCTAAATGCTTTTATGTATTGCGCAGGTTGGCACACTGCAACCGAAGTAGGAGCCTGCAAGGATCTTGGGAAGGCGACGGCTCTGCCTCTTGGGCCTCCATTGCCGTGATGCTCCGGCCCGACACCAGCTAGAGTGGGTGCCGTCTCGCGGCAAGTTTGCTCAGGCGCCGGATGGCTGCAAAGCAGAAACCCGTGTTGACATTAGGGTCCAAGCACTCGCCAGGGAAAACTGGAGGATTGAATGCTTGGGCTCGAAATGGTTTGATGCCGAGAAACCCTACGCCCTACTTTGAGCACAAAAAGCTTCATCAACGTGGCACGGCCGGGTCACGGCGGCCCTGGTGGGCAAGACCATCTGCCTCCTGTCGCCCAACTTTCAAACATCAGAGTCATTACAGCGGCAAGGACACTCTTCCTGCACATTCGACAGACCCGCAGCATAATCTGAGCATGACAGGCTCTCCTGCGATCATCGTCGGGATGTTGCAAGCCACCTCCACAACCTGACCATCCACAGTTCCCATTTTCTGCGCTGGCTGGTTGTGAACAGTGTTGCTGCGCTGCTGCAGTGCATTCATTGCGTGCAGCAAGGAGCTGACATGACTCAGCGACACATGGAGCAAGGGAGGGTCGCACGCGTCAGCAAACCTTTTGCGACCTGAGTCCCGAGGCCTCCAGACCACGGAAGACGTCGCCCTTGGCATCGGCCATGGACTTGCCATGTCTTGCCCTGCTCCTGCAGGAGCGCGAACACTTTCTTCTGAGTTCTACTGCATTCAGTCGAAACATCATCGATGCCCATGTTTTGCAGCGCCGTCCGAAACTACCTCTTGTGGCGATGATCTCTAGACCTCTATGAGGCCACGTTCCGTCCGCTTAGTAACTGGAGCCTGGACTTCTCACATCCATGCGGCTCAGGCTCATGGACTTTTCGCCCCGAGCTCCTTCGTCAGAACTTGTGCGAGGGCATCAGTGTTGTCAAGGATCGGGCCTTCGAGTTTGTTTCCTTATACAACGGGTGCTCATGCTAATCACATGCTGCTAAGCCTCGCACTTTCATGACATCACACAGCATCTGGGACCTCTCGGGACTTGGACCAGGTGAAGGACCGGGGTCTGGCTGAACGGAACTCCGGGCCAAGGCAAGGGCATCACGCGCGCCCACGTGCTTGGAGGCGTCCGCCTCCACCCCTCAGAGGCCGAGCCTCGGACGTCTAGGGTTTAGCAAAACTGACTATGAGGTTCTGTGCCTCGACGTCTGCAGTCGGAGAATCCGATCTGATGTCTCTTGTTCAAAGTCTCCCCAAGTAACAAGTCGGCTCAACGCCTACAGCACTCGTACAGTTGCCACATCGGGATGGTACAAGTAGACAGCACAGGAGGGCGCGGCTGCCTACAGACACCACAATCTAGATTTTGCACCAAAGCTCCTCCCGCAGATGCATTCGTAAGCCCGTCAAGTACACGCACGCACCCATTGCAACAGCCACAAAGACACCCGCGCTATGCTGATTTGTTGCACTGCCCGTGTTCTGGGAGTTGGACCGCGCTTGTCGGGCGCAGCGGGCACGAAGCTCTGCCTCGAACAGGTTCCAACACCTATGTCCCGTGAGCTGCCTGTCTGAATAAAGATTCCCTCGCTCAACCTTGTTTATCCCTGTGAAGGGCCTAACACTCCCAACTAGGTTGCATGAAGAGCTTCCTTGTGAAAACGGAAACCTTTTCGAGACAGCTCTCCGATGGAATCTCTGCCTCATGGGCGAGCATTCGCCACAATCCATGGCACTCGGCTCTCCTTGAGTCAACCGTTTCGTGTCTTTTAGTACTGCTGGAAACGACATCTTATGAGCATCCTGACTTCTGGGAACTCAGCATGGCAGCACGGCTTACCTTGAACTACTCTCAGATCTGCTTCGATCCCGCTGCGTTCATTGACTGCAGTGCATACAAAGACTGGCGGTGATGTCGGCCAATGGTGCTGGGACTGCAATTCTCACTGTGCCGCTGGTGACCAACAAAACCATGTTGGCAATCGTGAGTGCAGTCAGAACCCGGATCAGGAGGACGAAAACTCTGGAGATGAAGATGGAGGATGCTGATGAGATTATGATGAAGTGCGTGCCAGGATGATGATTGGAATGAGGACGAAGATGAACAGTATCATGATTGACAGGAACGTGATGGTGGTGGTTGCTGGTGATGGCTGGTGGTTGTTGGTGATGGTGGTGGTGGGGATGATGCTTACGATGATGATGATGATGATGCGGATGATGATGATGATGATGATGATGATGCGGACGACGATGATGATGAAAACCATGACGATGAGGACGACAGTGTTGAGAATGATGACGATGATGATCATGCTGCTGCTGCTGGCGGCGGCGGCGGCGGCGGTGGTGGTGGTGGTGGTGGTGGCTGTGGTGCTGGTGCTGGTGCTGGTCATGACGTTGATGTCGACGATGATGATGACGATGACGATGGTGATGGTGAAGAAGAAGAAGATGATGATGCTCTTGTTGTCATTGTTGCTTGTATTGTTCGTGCTGTTGGTTTGTTCTTGCCGGTGATGTTGTTTCTGCTGCTGCTGCTGCTGGTGGTGGCGGCGGAGGTGGTGGTGGCGGCGTTGCCAGTGATATTGTCTTTGTCGCTGCTGTTGTTATTGTTGTTGCTGCTTGTGCGGTTGCCGTTGCCGAGACTGTCGGATGACGACCGCATAGATCATGGCGATGATGAGAAGCGTCGAAAAAAACGACACGACAAAGGCTCATGCCGGTAAGGATCATGATGACCATGCCGATGCGCAGGTTGCCTGGCAATGATAATAAAGGCCACACATATTTTCCAACCATCGGCGCTCTCGCACGTGCCGGACCGAGCTCGAGAAGCAGCACGACCTGGCGGACGAGAATGCAGACGTTGTTTTCACAGAAATCCTGACAGCGACTTGAAAGGGTTTTTTGTTGCTATCATTGGGGTTCAGCATTTACGGCAGTTGGGTGCGAAGACATGTGCCAATAGCTTTTCGCCAAACAACTTCAAGGAACATCAATTGGATCTAGATACCCTGGTGACTGTAGGTCTTTGTTAGCCCGCTTTGAGGCAGCAAAATGACAGCCCCTGGCAAGTTCTTGTAGAGTGTTTCAGGCAATCTAACTATCCCATGCTCTGCTTCCGCGGCGTGAACAATCCTGTAGGACTTCAGGGCTTCTTAATCCAAAGTTTCGATTGGTTTGGAGACCAAACCGTTGACAAATATTGCCTCTATTGCGGCTAACTGGCAAAACGGAACTAGCTGGGAATCGCATAGCACAACTTCACCAAGAGATGTTTAGCAGAGCAGCAGCAGCAGGAGCAGCAGCAGCAGCAGTAATTATAGAAAGTGTTGCGTCCATAACAGGAGTGACCAGCACCTGACACGGCGCAAGACTGGTATGCAGGCCCGGGAAGCGAAAAGGGCATGGCGGCCAAACGAGCCCCTTCAGCCCGATCCCCCAATATATAAAAGCAGAAGTCAAGGATGATATACAGAATAGACGCAATATCTAGAATAGGGTCTTAGGCCATGTTACATAATCTTGTACGACAGGCTAAAGTAGGAACACTAAGTACTGGTATTGTCAATTCCTCAGGCTTCTACACTAGTCCATAGATTAGTCTGAAACCTCTTACCTAAACCCTAAGCCCTCTTAGACTCTTAAATTCGCCTGCCCCTCGACCTACCCGAAGCCACCTGCATCTTCCCTGATGAAAGATTTCGTTGAGGTGTTAGGGTGTTGGTTGTAGCAGGATTTGAAAGGTTTAGGATTATCTAGGGTCTTAGCAATTGATTAGGGTTCGAGGTTTTCGGATTTCGTGCAAACTTACGGTTTTCTCAGGTTCAGGTGTTCAAGGCTTTCACTCACGGCAGGGAACCAAAGCACTCCATATCAGATTCTGCTTGAAGGGACTGAGAAATCCTCAAGCCCCTTATCGCCAAGCCCAAACCACGATGGGCTTTCTTGGCGATGTAGGGTGGTTTTAGGACTTCAAGTTTGGGGTCTCGGCTCGAGCCCCCACGATACACGGAGGAAGCCTGAAAGCCCCAAACCTGCAGACCTGAAAGTAAAATGCCAATCCGCCGCTGCGCTCACCTAGACCCATCAACAGGACAGGACTGAATCAAGGACATAGCTGAAGCCCTATGCTGCAACCAGAGCTAAGTCTAATCGCCCCAAACGCCCAAATCCCAAAGCGCCAGGACACCACCCGCCAAACCCAACCCCACGGACCCTAAACCCCAGCCCCCCTAAACCAACAAATGAAACACAACTCCAAGATCGCCAGCCCATGTTTCTGAAAGAGTCAGGGGGTTCCGGGTCTCAGAAGTTTATGATCAAACTCTCGTCTTACAGCAACTCAAGCAACACACGAACCATTCAATCCCTGCAGAAGCCTAAACACCCTAAACCCCAAAAACTCCCTAAACGCGGCCTAGCTAACTTGTCCTCAGTTTTGGGATCCGTTACAAAGGACAGCAATTAAAGGATAATGTTACGAATGTTACTGATCGGAATATTCCGCCCTAGTCTAATCATTAAGGCCCTACGCTAGTTATAGAGCCCTGATTATGATCCTCGTTGGCAGGAACGCTTTAGAGGAACCCTCTAAAGGACCCTGTGTCCCCCAGGGCTCGAACGGCCAAGATGGTGTTGACGCCCAGTTTCGACCTGTAGTGGCGAAGTGGACGAACTCCGGCAGTAGCTCAGGTAGCTCAGACTATGGGCAGTTTGGTATGATGTGTATAGAAGTATAGATACCAACATAATATATGTATATATATATATACACTGGTATATATACACATATTATACGTATATAGAAACGTCATTATGCACGGTACTCTAGGGTTAGGGAGAGAGGGAGAGACTACAATTCCATATCATGGATAGCAGCAGCAGCTTAACGCAGGGTCAAGGGCTTCAGATATGGCAAACACTCCCTGCCACTCTCCTGCCATCCTTTCCAAAGAGGGCAATTAGCAGTTTAGCTTTACCTACCCGAACGCGCTCACAAGCCTGCAGGCCTACCAAGGGCTGCAAATGCCAAGGCCCAAGCCAACCCCGGTCGCTCTGGGAGCCATCCACCTGCTCGACCGTAGCCTGGTCAGCGCATGGCTTTCGCACCAAAGCCCTTAACCCCAAACAAGAAAACCCTGTAAGCCCGAAAACCCACAAAAGCCGCGTTGCATCCTTTGGAACCCTGTTCTCGGTCCAAGCGGAGCCATGAAGATCCTGTGAGGGTCCTTTGTGTTGCCGATCCGACTACATAGGGTTTTATTTGGGGTCTTCATATTGAGGATCCTACCTGTACCATTATGGAGGGAGCAACCTCCCCAATTCCGCAGGCCTGCTCTGTGACCTTCATGCCAATCGACAACCCTCGAAGCTGTCAGGAAAGCATACTGCACATAAAGGTTGTAGAGCTTGGCTCCACTTGATGCCAGCATGACATCATTGCGGCAAAGCAAATTGTAAGGGCTTAGAAGAATCTTATCCTGTGATAAGTGTCCTCTTTCTGGACAAATCTTCAGGAAGTACCTTTTCCTGAGAAAAGCATCTTCCTATCAAATGACGAATGCTCGAGGTGGATACCTTCTCCTGTGAGAAGCATTCCGTCAGACACTAAATCCACAAACGCAATGTCACCATCCCAAGTTCGATCTCGATGTTCACCCTCCCACCATGTCTTGCCGGTAGAAGGGAACGATCGGTGAATCGTGAACACGATTAAAGAACCTGGGACCGTGGACCGTGTGGAGAGCCTTCGGTGGGCGGTTCGATCTCCCTGTGGAGAGCTTTCCGTAGCTTCTGTCTCCATTGGCGCATTGAGTGCTGTTTTTGCCAGCCATCTCGCCATGTGGCAAGTCCGCTGACCCCGCTGCGACAGCACAGGTGTCCATCGGAGTGGCCTTCTCGGGATCATCAACCTCTTCGAGCTGAGGACCGGGAAGCTTTTCGAGGAACTCCTCCACCAGGATGTCCTCGTAAGGGCGAGTGTAGAGCTCCTCCAACTCTGCCTCCCTCTTCTCCTTAAGGGTCTCATACGCGAGAAGATCGGACCTCGCCTTCCGAGCAAAGGCTGACTTGAAGTCCTTGTTCTCGGTGTTGGAGTCTGTTGGAGGGAACCTTTTCCAAAGCTGCCAGCACATAGCGACCATTGAAGGGTTGCCTGAGAGTGGAGTCAAAGAGTCCGTACTCTTCAGGAGTCTTCACAAGGTACTTGCGACCGATCTCCACTTCGTGTGCATGGCGCTGGATATAGGAGAAAAAGTCCAAACCGTAGGCTTCGTTGATGACGCCGACGAGCATCTGGAAGTCCTCCCACGCAAAAGCGATCTCACGGTACTGTCCGAGGCTGAGCGTTGCCCAGCACGTAAAGAAAAGATTGGACCCTAGCTGCGGAATGGAAAATCATGCGCCCCCAGGTCTGTGACCACATTGGCTTTTCAACCTGAAAAGTGATGCCAACGCCGCTCTGCCGCTGTGTTGAAGTATTCGATGACATATTCGATGACGTTAACACAATGGCCCATGTTAGTTGAAAGGAGCTTCGCGGTTGTTTGCTTTAGTTATTAAAACCCTCATTTGTGCGATGCCTTGCTCATCAAATTCGGTGTTGGGATCACATATTGTATAATTAGGTATATGTTTCAGCGAACCAGTTGGCTCTTGGCTTTCCAACTCTACGAGTGTGTTCAATACGTGGTCTACACGTACCTTGTTCAAATAGTATTTGTTTCATTGGGTCGTCCGCTGGAGCCCTTAAGATGTGGCCTAGTAAAGTGATCCTGCGCTGCTTCCACCTGTCTGATAACTTGACATGTTGATATTGGGCTCGTAATTTTGGATCGTCAATTACTCTCCGATTTGTCCATTCTCTATCAGTGCGGGTAGGGGGTACATTCAACACTCGTCGCAACATCTTCATTTGAAAAGCATCTATTCTCGCAAGTCGCAAGTGTAGCTCAATCTCCGCAGTATTAATTCGCTTGGGCAATAACAGGCTTGTAGAATGCCGACTCCACGGCCATGAAAAGTACTACGTGTTTTAAATTTGCACCTGGTTGAAACACTGAATGTTACACATCCAGGTGCCTGTCTGTTTCACGTATCACTTGCATGTATCCATGCTCGTTGCTCTAGTTTCTAGTGCAGTGGACTACAGCTGTGCGCCTGTAGTAAAAAGAGACTCCTGAGTGCCTGTGTTCCTGTACGCATAGCGACGGGATACACGCCCAGGTTACATCTCAGGGGGCGGGGATGGATTCCGGGCTACACTACAGCTTGATTTGACCTGCCTCCTTCTGATGCGACCCTTTGACTTCTTCGACAAGTAACCCTCCCAGTCCCAGTCACTCTCGGCCCACTTGCACTTTTACGGCGAACTTTGATGCCCATTCCACTCATCTAGATGTGTATGCATGATATGAGCCCTTCCAGATTTTTGGCTCATTCCTTGAACATGAGGAAGATTTAGGTCCGCATCGCCCCAACACTCAAAGCCAAAAGAATCCGCAGGCCTCCCAACCCCAACAGAAGTCGTCGTCAGCAACAGATGGCCCTATGTCCGAGGATGTGCAATCCTCTTCCGGAAGACGCAGGCCTCCGTGGTGTCATCATCCTGGTGCGCCGCTACAAACGATTGTTGAGGGTGCTGCTGCCAAGCAACACAAGTACTTTGAATGAGGCTATGAAAGGCCGAATTGAGGACCCGAAGGTCAGGTGATCAGAGCACTGAAACCCAATGCAAAAAAAGTAAGATCAGCATCAGTGCACACCCTCGACACAACGCCAGCCGAAGTCGATTCAACAGACGCCAATGGAAATGCTAATCTGTCACGGAAAATCACAGGCCTTCACCGGCTGCCGCAGCAAAGGCGGCGAACCTGTCATATCATGAAACGTACATGAGTCATGCTTTTCGCCAATGCCGTCACTTGCTCTAACGCATGCAGCCTCCGTCCAGAACGTTCGCGCTCTGGCCCAAGCGCGAAACTTGGCCATCAGCAACATCACGTGAGTGCCATGCCGACAGCAATTAATTAACAGCAACATTCAGGTCACGATCACTGCGCTGAGCATGCAGCCACGACGCGAAGCAGGAGGCGATATTCTGCCGGGGCAAAACAACGGGAAAAAGACAACAAGTCTTGTGTGAACAGGTGAGGCGGTGAGGCCCTCGGTGAGGCCTCCGAGGTCTGGGTCTGACCCAAACTACTCACGCCCGAAGGCTTGTGGCTCACAACATCTAAGCGGCGCTGGCACCGTCGCTCTTTGAACGGGCACCAATCACTGTGCCTTGGCTAGGTCTGTTCATACTTCGTTTGCCCTGCCTCGGAGGATGGCCCGGCGAAGAACGCGTCGGGCTCGCTCCTCAAGCCAACAAGTTCATGGGTGGTTTTCGGGGCCATGGATCTCAAGGTCTTGCCCTGTATCAGTGCGGGCGGTTGACAGCCTACTTGAGCCAACATGTCGACACGTCGGCGAGATGCTGACAAGCGATCCATCTACCATCCGAGCCGCCTGGTTGAAAGGTTGCTGAAGTCGTCTCTGAATGTCTCTGACCCTTCACTTGTGAAGAACCTGGCAGATACTTGCTAGTTTCGAGCTAACGTCAATTATGCTGAGAACGCTTTCATCCCGCGCTCCAGCGGATGATCGATGCTCAAAAACTGAGATGCCCATCTCTGCTTGTCCCATGTCTTCCTCAGCTTTGTCTGAGATTCGTTGTTACATGTAAAACTGCATCCATGGACGATCGTGCCCAATGCATGATCCCGGACACGCCTGCAGCACTGGTCCAGCCACTTCCCATCTTCCAGATCCAGAGGCCTCAGATGTAGCGATGCCTCACGTGAATTCAAGTGGTTGCGAAGTGACGACGGCTTCTTCGGCCACGGGCTCCTTGCACAGCCCTTCTGCCCTTCTCGGCTCCCCTCCGCCGTCGTCCAACCCAACTCTGACCGATAGCGTTGAGAGACGCGAGCTGTTCCGCAACTCCTGCCTCTGCCAAGACCCAGCTTCACACTCACAAGTCAATGCAGCACAAGCTTCGAATGCAGTTTCCCTGAACCCCATCGAATTACTCTCAACATGCATCGACAACGACAGCAACACATGCAAACTCATCTCCGTGGGTCACAAGCCGTCAGCTTGCCCTACCATGTGTGGATTCAGCGTGGGTTGTCTCGTCTTCAAAGGCAACGTTGCACGCGCAACTCTAGGAGGGTTTGCGAAGGCGACACCCAAACACGAGAGATTTTAGGAGCTGCCCGTAGAGCGAACGTTCTGGGCGGCGTAGCGCCTCTCCCCATCATTTCTCTCCTCTCTCTCCTCTCGCTGCTCTCTCTCCTCCGCTCTCCCCTCTCAAAGCGCCTTAAGGGCCCTGTAAGCACCAAGCTCTGGTCCAGTTCAGGGACACGCCACCGTGGTTGTCCGGGAAGCGCTGCTCCCGCCTCAGAGCGTCAAAGACGACACACGCGACGCTTGTCTGTGGAAACCGACTTCTGGAGCTCTGGACTGCAGTGCAGCTGGGCACCTGACTCTGGGATCTGAGGTCGCATCGCGGGTCTCTACAAGTAGCAGGCCAGTAGGTTTGCTTGCTGTTCCAAAGCTATGGTATGTGGAACGCCGTCCGTGGGCTCTCAACAAGTACAAAGGAGGACATGGTTGGCAGGTACATACTGTAATTACCATCACATGTGCGTGATTAACCTGCAACCTCAACTTTTTTGGCTTTTCCAAGACGAGCTCCTGGCCCCGGATGTCCCGTCTTGGGACCGAGGCTGCCAGAGCGCTGAGAGTTGGGAGCTGGCCTCGGTATGGCGCTCTGCAAGCAAGCACACACGCATGGCCCATGTGTTGTTGCAGTGATGCGTTCCTCTGTGTAGTCCAGCGCAGTATGCGATGGTCTAACTCAAGGTGCCAAGACCTGCTGTCAAATCACTTCCCTCCGCCCGGTACAGCTAGCTCCAGCACGGCACCGACTACTACGTGTGACAACGACGAGGAGGACTGCCCACCCCTAAACCCTTCGCCAAATCCTTTGCCACGACAAGATGGACACCCCAGTAATGTCACCGAGACTCACATTTGCACTCCCTCAAAACAGGCGTCTGCAGAAATGAAACTCAGCAAACCTCAAAACACCTTCTGGAAGCCCCCAGAGAGCCTCACGCTGAACTGCAGCTTGTTCTTTCCGACCACCGTCAGAAAATTCTGCGCCTCTCCTCCAGCTCAAACCTTCGACTGGCGAAAGGTAGTGGGTTTTCGAGTCCAACAAGGTTTTCATGGGGTTTAGCAGGTTTTGGGGGTTCAGGGGTCCCAACACTTGGGTTTACAGATGCTGGGCTTGGGACCAAATTTTTGGGGAGCCTGGGAATTGGGGGTCCGGGTTCGAGGCTACCAGATCGACGACAGTTCAATGCTTTGGCAGGGCCTTGGCATCATGACACTCACGTTCTCGAGAGCTAAGACCGCGTTCTAGACACCTGAAGACCGCTCCTTTCAACGAAAACACTTAGTGACTTAGTGATTCAGAGGCTCAGGACTTTCGGTTTTGGCTGAGCAACTCAACTTGCAGGTTTAGAGTTTTGGGCAGGCTGCTAAAAACATTAAACAAAAGGTCTGCTGCCAGCTGGCTTCGCATTGCAACGGTGTTGCTCAACATGCTCAGCTGCTGTGACCCGGAGGCCTTGCCCGATTCAACGCGCACTCTCTCGCTTACGTGTTGCCCGTGGTTCCAGGCCCGACACACCCAATGATGCAAGGACCTCTCCATGAAGCTCCTGATCCTATACAAAGTAAAAGAAATCTGAAAGCATGTGTCATACGAACCACAGGCAGCTGACTCTGCGAGAGGCTCTTTCGGCTCTCGCAAGCCTGAAACCTCGACCTGACACGGGAACACCAACCAAGAGCTGTCAAGTCCGCCACGCCAAATGAAGCGAAGTGGCGCCTTCAAGTAGCAAATGCGCGGCATTTTGCAACACGCCTCGGAGCAGAAGAGCGTGAAAGCGCAAAATCATACCTTACGCTGCCAAGTTGGAATAAAATGGCGACCCTGCGCTGGGCTCTTTCTTCACCGTGGAAGAAGAAGGCTGGAAACCTGCTATCCCTGCAATGACGACCTGTAGGCAGGAACACAATTGACAATGGACAAAAAGAACCACCCCGAGTCCTGAACGCCTCAGCTGCAACACTTGACTCTCAAGCCTGAAGCACAAACCTAGCGATGCATAGTGACATAGTATTCGAGTGTGGACACCACTGCAACAAAAAAGTCCCCTCCGTCCTTTTGCTACAGCGAAAGCAGTACTTAAAAAAAAAACGAACTCTCCAACACCGGATCCCAGGGTCCGGGGGTCATTATTAGAATGGAAAATCAAACGGAAAGCATGGGCTCGCAGAGGACAGAAGTCTCTCACACAGAGTGCGCGGCGAGTATGGGAACTCCATTGACTCGTGTGCTTCGTCAACTTCAGCCGCAAGATTACTGCAAGCACGGCACTGCAGAGTTCCATGAGTTCCATGCTCATTCGGTGGAAGTCGTCATGTCATCGAATGCCAGGAACCTTCCGTCGACTGCGAAAGCAATCCCGCGCCAAGGACTGTCCGTCATGACGTAAATTGCATGGCGGTTGGTGGCTACTCTTTCGTGCGCGGCAGCCCAAACCACCGAGGCCCGTCTCTAAACATGATCAATGAAACACCCTCATGTGCGGCTCCCGTCCTGTGTTGGTCGTGTCAAGATCCTCCACGAAGCCCAGGATCTGATCCCAGCCCAGGCCAGGGTGCCACACCTCCAGTCCTCTGAGGAGAGCGGTGTGGAATGGCACTACGCAGAAGCAAGCCCAAGGAAAACTGCAAGCACTGGCGACCGATTTGCTCTCTGCTGCTTGCAACTGGTATACTTAGGGCACTAGGACGACATGAAGCAAGGTGTCAGCGTCAGTCTTTGACTGAGGACTGCAAGCGGTTCCTCGCTTAGCGAAGACCCAACTAGAAACTCCTTTCCCAGGCCGAAATCCAAGGCATTATCAAGATGTACTGAGAAGCAAAGACTTGCTTGTCTTTGACTGAGGACTGCAAGCGGTTCCTCGCTTAGCGAAGAGGCGGCAAGAGCTATTTTTGTCCGCAGATTCATTTTCCATGATCCCTTATGCTACGTTTCTAGTGTCCGGCAGACTGCTGCAGGCAACAGCTGCCTGCAGCTCGTCACGTGCCTCCACCGGCTGCTGCTTCTGCATCTTCCCATCAAAGCCTGCTCCAGGCATAACTTCCTCCCACATTGCACGAAGATCTTCTGCAACAGCATCGACTAGCATGTCTTCATCTGGTTCTGGAATGCGTTCTGCTGACTCGCCTGAGTCGGATGGTGTCCGATCTGTCTGCAGGTCTTGTTTTCCAGCTCGGGTCGAGCAATCTTGCATTTCCATGTCCTGCGGACTGTTGAAAACGACAACTGCCTGCAGCTCGTCACTTGCCTCCACCTGCTCGTCCTTCTGCGTGGTCCCATCAAGGTGTGCTGTACGCTTAGCTTCCTCCATCACGAGGATGGAAGGTTGGGAAGATGAGAGAATGTTGACGACCTCGACTGGCTGTAGCTCGTCGCTTGCCTGGCCACTGGGCTTGAGCACGTCTTGTCCGCCAGCTAAAACTGCTTTGCAGTCTTCCAGTTCCACGTCCAGCAGAGGAGGATGGGAGGATGGGGGATGCGGGGATGGGGGAATGGCATGGTGGGGGCCAACGACCTCGACTGCCTGCAGCTCGTCACTTGCCTCCACCTGCTCGTCCTTCTGCTCGGTTCTGCCAATGCCTGCTCCATGCGTAACCGCCTCCACCGCGAGGATGGAAGGATGGGAGGACGGGAGGATATTGACGACCGGCTCGTCTGCATTAGCAGAGGGCAGCACTGTGCAAAATTCCGCGTCTCCAACAGCCACTGTGGAGGATTTCACGCGCCGGCGGACAAACCAGATGCCTGCCAACGTGGCGCCAAGCAGCCCGACAGCACCAAGAAGCAAGTAGACCGATGATCCAGAGGACGATGTGGAGGATGTTGCAGAGAACGATGCAGAAGACGAGGACGTAGATGTAGATTGAGTCGTGGAGAACATATGCGTTGAAGAAGATTTAGAAGTCGACATGAGCTGGACTGTTATGGACTCCACAATCACTGTCGTATTTGCAAGGACTGCGTGCCGCTGGATGAACTGGCTGATGATGGTATTGACCTTTTCCAGTGCTAGCGGCTCCGGCACTTGCCCGGACAGGAATGGAGGGACGATGGTATAGGTATATGACAGCTGTTGACTAAGCCGCCTCGATGTCCCGTCGCTGCTGCAGGTGTCGCCTTCTGCTAAAGACGTCACCGTAACATGCTCCGGGACGATCTCCTGGCCCAAAGACGCGAATGACCTGGTGCACTACAGCCTGGTTGCTGGGATCCGTAAATGTCGAGCTGTCTGCCATTGCGAGGGCAATGCAGCCCTCAAAGGCGACGAAGCTCATGATGGTTGTGCTTGACACTGTCGTGGTCGTCATTGTTAATGTTGACGCTGTCGTGGTTGTATCCGTACCTGAAGAAGTCGATGTTGTCGAGGATGTGTGCGTCACGGTCGTAGTGGCCCATGTCGAAGATGACGTCGCCGTGCCTGAAGAAGTTGACCAGGTCGTCAGCGTGGCAGTCACGGTGTTGGTCGCAGTGCTGGTTGTGGTAGTCTCCGTACCTGAAGAAGTTGATGTTGTCAAGGATGCGTTCGTCACGGTCGTAGTGGCCGATGCCGACGATGACGTCGCCGTGCCTGACGAAGTTGACCAGGTCGTCAGTGTGGCAGTCACGGTGTGGGTCGGAGTGCTGGTTGTGGTAGTCTCCGTACCACTGAAGGTGGGCAGGAAAGGTCCGGGAAAGCTTGCATCTCCGTATAGCAGGACGATGGCGAAGCCAATGGCGGCCGAAGGTGCCATGAGGCCGTCTACGTACAACGAGTACCAGGAGGGATGGCAGCATTCCAGGAGTGCTGCCGACCAAACCTGTGGCCTCTTGGCGACCGTGCCCACGAGCTGCAGCTTTGTGCCACAATCGTCTACAAACCACACGCTGTAGCCATCAATGACAGACTCGTTCGGGCCATTCGAGTCGCAAATCGCTGCCGGACTCCATCGAATCTCACCGAAGACTCGATAGCCTTGCATGCCCCAGGCTTGCGTGACCAGGGTGGCACAGACTTGGCATGCAATCGGTGCTGTGCTGTTCGCTGCAGCCCTACCAACAGGGCACAGCAGCTGTCCAGAGGATGACGAGGAAGACTCCCCGCATGATGCATAACCCTCTTGCGAGACCTGCTGCCCAGTCAGGCAAATGTCTCCATCTTCCGCGCCCTGGCACGCGTCACCGCTGCCGAGGATGGGAACACCACCGAGGAACTGACTACATTGGGGTAGCGGTGTCGAGGTGGTGGTGCTTGATGTCTCGGTAATTGATGTGCTCGACGTCCAGCTAGAGGACTTGCTGCTCGAGGTCGTGGTGGTCATAGTGGTCGAGGTTGTGGCAGTGCTGGTCTGTGAGGTCATTGTAGTTGTCGCAGATGTCCGGGTGCTTGAGGATGTAGTACGACTAGATACCGTGGATGTGGCTGTTGAGGTTGGGGGGCAGCCTTTTTGCTGCTGGTCGCAGCACCACTCCTTCTTCGCGTCTGACCAAGCCATCTCCCACCTGGTGTACTCGAGGTCACAGTCGAACCACACTGTGGACGTCTCTGTGGTGGTTGTTATCGTGGTTGATGTTAGTGTCGAAGTCACGGAAGTCTGCGTGCTGCTTGCAGAGGTGCTGCTAGTGCTGCTAGTAGAAATGCTGGACACTGTTGAAGATGTAGTGGTGACCGAAACTGATGTCGTGATGGAAAATGTGCTGGTAAAGCTGATCGTTGAGGAAACCGTTCTAGTGGTGGAAGTGGTCGTCATGGTAGAAGTCGATGGGCAACCAACTTGCTGCTTGGCACAGCACCAGTGTTTTTTCGCGTCTGACCAGCTCAACTCCCTGGTACTGTACCCGGCAGAGCAGTCGAACCACACGGTCGATGTCACAGTGGTGGTGACTAGACTACAGTAGTCGTTGATGTAGTCCCTGTGACCGAACTGTGGGTAATGCTTGTCGTTGCCGTAGTGGTGGAGCTGCTTGAGCTCGACTTGCTGCTGGTCGTTGTGCCAGACTGCGTGGTCGACGTGCTAACCGTCAAAGTTGCCGTTGTCGTGGACGTAGTACTCAATGTCGCACTGGTCAACGTGCCAGTGCGGCTGGTCCTGGTGGCCGTGGAAGTTGTGGTTGAAGGGCAGCCTTTTTGCTGCTGGTCGCAGCACCACTCCTTCTTCGCGTCTGACCAAGCCATCTCCCACCTGGTGTACTCGAGGTCACAGTCGAACCACGCTGTGGACGTCTCTGTGGTGGTTGTTATCGTGGTTGATGTTAGTGTCGAAGTCACGGAAGTCTGCGTGCTGCTTGCAGAGGTGCTGCTAGTAGAAATGCTGGACACCGTTGAAGATGTAGTGGTGACCGAAACTGATGTCGTGATGGAAAATGTGCTGGTCAAGCTGATCGTTGAGGAAACCGTTCTAGTGGTGGAAGTGGTCGTCATGGTAGACGTCGATGGGCAACCAACTTGCTGCTTGGCACAGCACCAGTGTTTCTTCGTGTCTGACCAGCTCAACTCCCTGGTACTGTAGCCGGCAGAGCAGTCGAACCACACGGTCGATGTCACGGTGGTGGTGACTACAGTAATCGTTGATGTAGTCCCTGTGACCGAACTGTGGGTAATGCTTGTCGTTGCCGTAGTGGTGGAGCTGCTTGAGCTCGACTTGCTGCTGGTCGTTGTGCCAGACTGCGTGGTCGACGTGCTAACCGTCAAAGTTGCCGTTGTCGTGGACGTAGTACTCAATGTCGCACTGGTCAACGTGCCACTGCGGCTGGTCCTGGTGGCCGTGGAAGTTGTGGTTGAAGGGCAGCCTTTTTGCTGCTGGTCGCAGCACCACTCCTTCTTCGCGTCTGACCAAGCCATCTCCCACCTGGTGTACTCGAGGTCACAGTCGAACCACACTGTGGACGTCTCTGTGGTGGTTGTTATCGTGGTTGATGTTAGTGTCGAAGTCACGGAAGTCTGCGTGCTGCTTGCAGAGGTAGTAGAAATGCTGGACACCGTTGAAGATGTAGTGGTGACCGAAACTGATGTCGTCATGGAAAATGTGCTGGTCAAGCTGATCGTTGAGGAAACCGTTCTAGTGGTGGAAGTGGTCGTCATGGTGGAAGTCGATGGGCAACCAACTTGCTGCTTGGCACAGCACCAGTGTTTCTTCGTGTCTGACCAGCTCAATTCCCAGTTACTGTAGCCGGCAGAGCAGTCGAACCACACGGTCGATGTCACGGTGGTGGTGACTACAGTAGACGTTGATGTAGTCCCTGTGACCGAACTGTGGGTAATGCTTGTCGTTGCTGTAGTGGTGGAGCTGCTTGAGCTCGACTTGCTGCTGGTCGTTGTGCCAGACTGCGTGGTCGACGTGCTAACCGTCAAAGTTGCCGTTGTCGTGGACGTAGTACTCAATGTCGCACTGGTCAACGTGCCAGTGCGGCTGGTCCTGGTGGCCGTGGAAGTTGTGGTTGAAGGGCAGCCTTTTTGCTGCTGGTCGCAGCACCACTCCTTCTTCGCGTCTGACCAAGCCATCTCCCACCTGGTGTACTCGAGGTCACAGTCGAACCACGCTGTGGACGTCTCTGTGGTGGTTGTTATCGTGGTTGATGTTAGTGTCGAAGTCACGGAAGTCTGCGTGCTGCTTGCAGAGGTAGTAGAAATGCTGGACACCGTTGAAGATGTAGTGGTGACCGACACTGATGTCGTCATGGAAAATGTGCTGGTCAAGCTGATCGTTGAGGAAACCGTTCTAGTGGTGGAAGTGGTCGTGATGGTAGAGGTCGATGGGCAACCAACTTGCTGCTTGACACAGCACCAGTGTTTTTTCGTGTCTGACCAGCTCAATTCCCAGTTACTGTAGCCGGCAGAGCAGTCGAACCACACGGTCGATGTCACAGTGGTGGTGACTACAGTAGTCGTTGATGTAGTCCCTGTGACCGAACTGTGGGTAATGCTTGTCGTTGCCGTAGTGGTGGAGCTGCTTGAGCTCGACTTGCTGCTGGTCGTTGTGCCAGACTGCGTGGTCGACGTGCTGACTGTCAAAGTTGCCGTTGTCGTGGACGTAGTACTCAATGTCGCACTGGTCAACGTGCCAGTGCGGCTGGTCCTGGTGGCCGTGGAAGTTGTGGTTGAAGGGCAGCCTTTTTGCTGCTGGTCGCAGCACCACTCCTTCTTCGCGTCTGACCAAGCCATCTCCCACCTGGTGTACTCGAGGTCACAGTCGAACCACGCTGTGGACGTCTCTGTGGTGGTTGTTATCGTGGTTGATGTTAGTGTCGAAGTCACGGAAGTCTGCGTGCTGCTTGCAGAGGTAGTAGAAATGCTGGACACCGTTGAAGATGTAGTGGTGACCGACACTGATGTCGTGATGGAAAATGTGCTGGTCAAGCTGATCGTTGAGGAAACCGTTCTAGTGGTGGAAGTGGTCGTGATGGTAGAGGTCGATGGGCAACCAACTTGCTGCTTGACACAGCACCAGTGTTTTTTCGCGTCTGACCAGCTCAATTCCCAGTTACTGTAGCCGGCAGAGCAGTCGAACCACACGGTCGATGTCACAGTGGTGGTGACTACAGTAGTCGTTGATGTAGTCCCTGTGACCGAACTGTGGGTAATGCTTGTCGTTGCCGTAGTGGTGGAGCTGCTTGAGCTCGACTTGCTGCTGGTCGTTGTGCCAGACTGCGTGGTCGACGTGCTGACTGTCAAAGTTGCCGTTGTCGTGGACGTAGTACTCAATGTCGCACTGGAAAACGTGCCAGTGCGGCTGGTCCTGGTGGCCGTGGAAGTTGTGGTTGAAGGGCAGCCTTTTTGCTGCTGGTCGCAGCACCACTCCTTCTTCGCGTCTGACCAAGCCATCTCCCACCTGGTGTACTCGAGGTCACAGTCGAACCACGCTGTGGACGTCTCTGTGGTGGTTGTTATCGTGGTTGATGTTAGTGTCGAAGTCACGGAAGTCTGCGTGCTGCTTGCAGAGGTGCTGCTAGTAGAAATGCTGGACACCGTGGAAGATGTAGTGGTGACCGAAACTGATGTCGTGATGGAAAATGTGCTGGTCAACCTGATCGTTGAGGAAACCGTTCTAGTGGTGGAAGTGGCCGTGATGGTAGACGGGCAACCAACTTGCTGCTTGGCACAGCACCAGTGTTTTTTCGCGTCTGACCAGCTCAACTCCCAGTTACTGTAACCGGCAGTGCAGTCGAACCACAGTGTCAAAGTTGTTGACAACGTTGATGTAGTCGTGGTGCATTGGAAGGGCGCGAGTTCTCGCACCAAAATGCCACCCGCCGACAAGCAAGCCTCCGGCAGGGCAACATAGCTGCACCTGTCATTGAAGCCGTGGGTAAGAAGGGCCGCGAGAGCAGCGATAGCTCCTCTGGCCGCCCAGGGCATATCGTTCTCAGCACGGCACAGGCATGGCGTTTTCCTAGGCACCTGACATTTTTAACATTGGGTATTTATACTGAAAGCATAGTATGGGCCGGGTATTCTTGCTTGACGACCCGACCCACGGCCCACAGGAACAATCTGGGCTTGATCAGGGGCCGGATCGGCGCCGAATCATGCATTCCTGTACTTTAGCAGTCTCTCTCCCTCTCCCATGGTGCACCGACCTGCTGTCTCGACGTAGGTGGAGACGTCGACCTTGAAGAACAGGGCTGTCTTCCGACTGATAGCTGCTAAGGACAGGGCTGTATGCTGATTCAGAATTGAATCGTACTCATTCAGCATACATTCAGAGTAGAATAGTGCTCATTCCGACTAGAAGATCCGACCCAGATAGTGGCGCAAGAAGTTACGTTTACGTCATGGTTACACTGTTCCTGTTAAAGTTTTACTTTCTTGACAAGGTTACAACTTCAGCTCCGACGGACGGCTTCTAGTGATCTCCCATGTTTTTCGAAACATGAAGCTTCCTCTGACAGCTGTCTTAAACAGCAACCAGCCACGAATTATAGGAGCATCGCAGTAACTTCAGGCGACCATTCAAGGGAGGACAGTAAGTACCCTGAACCCTGAACTCTTCCCCGCCACTTCACCTCGTCTCTCAGCCTGAGGCAAGGATCAAGTCGAGTTGTCTCCTGAACATGCATGCCGTAGCGGCAATGCAGAAACATGATGATGCATCATCATGATGGCTGTCCGGACAGCTGGCATCTCGGCACAGGGACGGGCCATGGCTGCTTCAAAGGAGCCTCACTGGCTCCCGAAATCTCTGCTATGCTGGCGGCGACAAGCCATGAGTTTGAGCGAGTTCGCCATTCTGACTGTCGGAAGAGCACCCTTGATCACGGCCGGTTCACTCATTCTGTCTTGTGATTGCGGACATCGGGTGGAAAGATTAACAGTCTCACGGGCAACGCTGTGGCCAGCTTCAGTGTTCAGCTTCCTGCATTGGCATTCAGGCACGACATGAACAGTTTTCCAAGAACAGTCGGTACGTGCACATGAACATGGCAAGAGGAAACGTCGCTCATCCAACTGAGCACGGTCCGATTTTGGTGTGGACACGCTTGAAAGACCGCCGCTCTCGAGAAGGCGAAGTCTGCAAAAGCTTTGAAAGTTGCACACAAAAGGCGCAGCTTTGTGCTGTGGTGGCCAACGCACACAATCCACAGCCTGAGGCAAACATCGGCGGCGTCTGCCGCGAACAAATAAGTCACCAGAGCATCGTGCCCCGCAGCTGACACCGGAGGATCAGCGGCTTCAAACTCATTTCGCCTGTCAAAGGGAAGACATATGCTATCGACGTTTAGGGCAACGCCGAAAAGGCTAGCACGAGACGACGGATACCCTTCTTTTGTATGGGAAGAAAGCGCATCGCGCCGGGTCCGTCGCCTCCGCCCAAAACTAGGCTGGCCGGCGCCGGGGAAGCTTTGAGCTACCCGACGCGCCGCCCGTGGGCGGGGGACGACCCTTAAGTCTTTTAGCAAACGGCTTCGCCGATACTGGGGAGGCCTCCTCCCCACTCCCCAACACGAGGGTGGTAGAGGGTGGGCCGAAAAAGCGATGTCGAGCCGGGACAGCTGCCGGCACGACGAATCGCTCATGTCCATGCGCACACACGTGTGCTACACGACATATGCTATCGACGTTTAGGGCAACGCCGAAAAGGCTAACACGAGACGACGGATACCCTTCTTTTGTATGGGAAGAAAGCGCATCGCGCCGGGTCCGTCGCCTCCGCCCAAAACTAGGCTGGCCGGCGCCGGGGAAGCTTTGAGCTACCCGCCCGGCGCTCCCCACCCCCACACAGCGCCGGCACAGCCGAACTACCGGAAAAACTCAAATAGCGCAAGCTCTCAGCTCCGCCGATGCTCCGTGGATGGCGAACTCGAGGTCGCCAGCAGTCTTGGCCAGGATGGCGCAGATTCTGGCCGCCGGTGTGCGTACTCTGGTCCAGCCCATCGCCTCTGCCGTAGCCAGGTCGCCGCGGGACACCGCATCCGCCACATTGGCATTCGAAGGTACCCGCCGGAAGTCAGGCAGCCAGTCCATGTCCGCTGCTTGGGACCAGAACGCCGCCAGGACGCCGTTGACCGCGGGGTCCCTCCCGTAGCCCTTGGTGAGGGCCCACTGGCCGGCGACGTTGTCAATGAACGCCAGCCAGCGTTCCGGTAACCGCCGCGCCAGCGTTGTCAACGCCAGGACCTGGGCGACGATCTCGAGCACGTAGATGAAGGCTCGCCTGGAGCCGAACGCCACCAGGAAGGAGGATGGCGCCTGGCCGTAGTCATAGTAGGTCTCGCCGCCGACTCTGACCACATATCCCCAGCCGTTCTTGCCGCGTGCCCCCTTTGGTGTGGGCAGGTCCGCCGGCAGGAAGCCCGCCTTGTGCTTGACCTCGCCTGGCTGGAAGAACGCGTCCGCGTACACCAGGGCCTGCGGGGCGCCGTCGTCGACGAACGGCACGAACCGGGGCCGGATGTTCTGGAGTAGCTGCCGAAGCGCCCGGAGGGCCGCCGCCAGCCCCACCGACAGCTCTGGGGATGACTCCGCCGCCGCGTCGTGGGCTCTGGCGTAAAGCGGCTTCAACGCCGCCTTGCCGAGGCAGCCGAAGGTGGACTGGGACGCGAAGCTCAGCTTGCCCGCCAGCTTCTGCGCCGCGTGAGGCTGAAGGGCATTCGTCTCCAGCGCCGCCTCGATGGCCCGGAGGAGCTTGGCCACTCTCGAGGGGGTGGGTCGCAGGGACACGCCGTCCGCCTCGATCGTCATTTCCACTCCTTGGACCACGTGCCGGGCCGCCGGCTCCTGGCCTTCGACGGCTTGGTCTGCAGGCCGAGTTCCAGGAAGAGGTCCGCCAGGGAGTGGAAGGCCGACTCCACGAGCACCGGGAGGTCGACGCCGTTAAAGTCGTCCACGAAATGGCCGCCGACCAGCCAAAGCAGGACGCGGGTCAGCGCCTGCATCGCGTCCGCGGCCCTGTTAAAATTCCAAACCGACGCCGCGGCTCCAAAGCACATGGCCAGGTGAAACCAGAGTGTCAGCCCAGCCGGCGTCGCCAGGAAAGTGCCGGAGTGGGCCGGGTGCCGGACTGCCCACTGCCGGTAGGCATTGAGCAGGTCGTGCCCGAACAGCCTGGCCGCCGGGACCCCACGATTCCCTGCCAGTTCCACCACGCGCCGGATGAAGTCCACCACGTCATCCACGAAATGGTGGGTGGGGACGTCCCGCGCCAGGACCGTGGAGTTGTGGCCCGAACGCCGCCAGTCCTCCCCTCGACGCACTTTCGTGTTCCCCTCGCCGTCCTCCTGCACTATGGCGAAGGACGCCGCGGCAAAGTGGCGGCCGGGGGGCGGCGGCACAAGCCGATCGGCGCCGGGCGTGTTCAGCACCGGCACGGTGACAATGTTCCATCCAGCCGGCGGGGCCGCCGGACCAACCACCCTGCCAAGCCGGGCCTCCGCCACCAGTTCCGTGAGGAGGGTCTCCCAGTGCTTGCCGGGCTGCGCCGCCGAGGCGCGCTTCCGGACGTATTCCCAGTTGGTCGCCGCCAGCTGGTCCAGGGACACCGGGTTCTGGTAACGGCCGTCCGTCCGCTCCTTCCAGCCGGGGCCACGCCGCACCTCGCCGAGCATGTCGAAGCCCTGGGTGAGGTCCGCCGTGAGGCCCTCGATGTCGGGGTAGCCCACCACGCCGAGGAGCTCCAAGAGGACCGGGATCTGCGTAGGCCGGTCCTTGTCCGCCGTGGAGTAGGTGCTGCGCACCGGAGCCGGGCGCTGGGCCAGCCAGGCCGCCGTCTCCTCCACGCGGTCCGCCACCATGTCTCTGATCTCCTGCAGCACCTCGCCGCGGATCCTGACCACGTCGTGGCGCCAGGCAGCCGCGAGCACCAAGACGCGTTCCACCGCCGGCTCCAGGTCCGGCCGCCGGGTGACCGTGCAGTGGCTCAGTTGGAGTGCCAGCCGCCAGTGCTCGTCGGGGTCGTCCTCCGGCAAGTCTAGCCGCGACGCCAGGCGAGGCGGGGGGCTCATGTCCAGGGGGCCTGCGCCGAACTGTGAGGCCATCCACGCCACCGTGGTGGTCCTCGGTGCTACCGGCACCGACGCCTCCGCCGGCTGTGCCACCGTAAAGGCCATGAGCATTGCCAAGAGGCGCCGGGCCACTCCCCAATGCCAGCCGTTGGCCACCATCCGATGCCGGGTCCTGTCATCTCCGTCGCCGAGGTCCGTGTACCCCGCCGGTATGTGGTGGAGAGCCTCCTTAACGCCGACGGGGATGTTGTGGAGCCGGCCGGCCTCGTCGTGGATCATCGCCTCCTCTGTGTAATGCCAGGGGGCGAACTGCCGGGAGTCCGCCAGCCACCTGGCTCTCGCCGGCTCCGGGATCTTGCCCCGAGCTCTCTTCGGCGCCGGGCAGCCGTTCTCGTCCTCCGCCGGCGTGGTGGCGCATGGCAGGAGCAACCTGCTCGACGCCACCGCCGGGTGAAAGGCCATGCCCACCGGTAGCATAGTGCTGGCCGCCGCCCTGGCTTCCTCCAGCCGAAGACGGTGGAACGGCCCCTTCTTGGTCCAGACCAGGGGTGCGCCGGTGGCCGGGTCCTCCGTGTGCTGCCGGAGGTCCGCCGAGAGCCACCAGAGCCTCGGCCTCGAGATCCACCCGAAATCGGAGGCGCAGACCAGCGCCGGTTCCACCCCAAGGCAGTCGGATACCTCCTTGGCCGACGCCGGCTGCATGACAACGTTCTCGAACATGAAGCCAACCCGCCAGCCGCGGAGCGCCGCCCTCAGCTCCAGGACGAACTCCGCCGAGCGCAAGAACAGGCTGCCGCGGGCGCCACTGTGGCCCGCCTCCGCGCCGATCTGGGAGAAATCTTGGCAGGGGGGCGCCGCGACGAGGAGGATCACACACTCGCCGGCCGGGTCAAGGCGCTTGACTTCCGCCGCCACCTTCTCCACCGAGTCCGCGGTGAAATCACCCCTCTGCCGGAGCCAGGGCAGCCGGGTGGATGTCAATCGCCGGCAAGTCTTGTCTGTCTCCCACGCCATGGCCGCCCACGGTGTGCCGAAGAGGTCCTCGAGGATGGCCGGCGCCGCCCCGACGCCGTCAAAGAGGGAGAGCAGGATGTACTTGCCATCCCGGCGCGCCGGCCTAGCCGGCTTCAGCACCACCGCCTGTGCCGCCTGGCTCCGGTCGGGTACCCCACCCGAGGCCGAAGCGCCGGGCGGGGCCCCGTGCTGTCCCTAGCGCCTGTGCTTCTGCGGGCGGTCGCCGTCCTGCGCCTGGGAGTCTCTCTTCCCGCCGCGGTCCTGCCACGACTGGGCCCGGTCGGCATTGGCCCACCGCCGATCGTCATGCCAGTCCTGGCGGCCAGGCTGCTGGTTGGAGTCGCCGCGAGGGCGCCAGTTCTGCCGCCAGCCACCGCCGCCGCCACCGCGGCTGTCCGAGCCACCCTCGTCGCCGCGGTGCTGGTGCTGCTGTTGCGCCTGGCGGGGGTTGTTGCGGCGCCGCCTGTTCTTCTTCACCTTCTGTGGCGCGGGCCCGGGCTGGTAACCCTGGTGCGCCGCGGCGCCTGGCGGGCCGTCCGTCTCCGGGTCCGGCGGGTTGGAGCCCTCGCTGACCTTGTTCCTCGCCGGGGGCCGTGGGCGGGAGAGGACATCCAGGAACGCCGCCTGGTCCTTCATGATCTCCGCCGTGACCTCCTCGAACGTCCGGCGAAGGCGCATCTGCATGGCCAAGCGCCGGGATGACGCGTCCCAGTACTCCGTGATCGCCTCGAGCTGGGACGGGCGCTGCCGGGCCTTCGACGTCCACCACTGGGCGTACTCCGCCGCCCCCTTCTCTGTGGCCACGCCGGTGAGGGTCCAAGCCCAGCGCACCGCCTCGATGCCGTCGATGACGCCGAGGACCCCCCTCGGGGTCCAGGGGTCCTCCCGGTCATGGACCAGTGCGCCGTCCACCAGCCGGATCGCCTGGCCCCTCTCCTTGTGGCGCCGGATCGCCAGCGGATTCACCTCCATGGCCGCCGTGAAGGTGCGCCGCTGCAAGATCTCACCCAAGCCGACCGCCGTGTACTCCTTCGACTTTGTGTGCTCGAAGTACATGCGCGCCAGCACCTCCTCCGCGCCGAGGAGGAGGGTCGTGGGGAAATCCCGGGGCTCGCCGGCGACCGTCACCTCGTTGTACCGCTTGACCAGCGGCCCCCCTCCGGGAATGTCTTCGGTGGCTTGTCGCCGGGAAGGGCCGGCACCACCGTTCCAGGGGCCGCCGCGGCCGGGGCTGGCGCAGCCGCCGGTGCCGGGACCGCGATGTGGGTGGCCCACTGCTTGTGCGCCTCGGCCCACATGTGGTGAAGGATGGCCTCGACGACCGCCTGCTCCGCCTCCGGCGCCTGGTGCACAGTGCCGGCAATGTCCACCCCGTCCAGGAAAGGCCGGACGACGCGGTCCTCAAACTCCGGCCAGGAGTGGGCGATGAGGGCCAGCGTCGCCGTGCGGTTCAGGTTGCGGGCCGCCAGGTAGGCCGTGAGCTGAGGGCCGGCCCCCGCCGCCGCCGCCAGATCCGCGAACGGCGTCATGATGGTCGCCGCCAGCGCGGGCGCGGCCGGGGGCGCCGCGGGAGCCGCAAAGCCCGGAGCCGCCATGATAGCCGCAGCAGCCGAGGAAGGAAGACCTAAGCGGGAGCACGCCGAGGGCGGGCGACAGCAGAGAGCCAGAGAGCTACCGCCGCGATCTAGCACTCAACCGCCAGCAAGAGAGGCACACCACAGCCGCTCACTAAGGACCGCCGTCGCCGTCTGTTTTCTCACGAGGACGAGCTGTCCGACTCGGACGCCGAGCTGGACGCCACCGGTGAGTCCACCGGCTCGGTCGGTGAACCTTCACCTTCCCCCGGAGCCGGCGCCGGGAAACAGCGGGCGCACCAAGCGGCGGACGCCGGCTTCTCGGACACTCTGAAGAAGCGCCGGATGCCATACGGCCACGCGCCGCACCTGGACCTCCAGAGGAACTGCTCCGTGGTAGCTTCCGCCGGGTCAGGCCGGTGCACCTTAGCCCCCTTCTCGTTGTAGATGAGGTCCTCCCGCGCCGGCGGGTGTCCGACCCCACCGGGCGCCGGCCCCCTAGGCGGGGCGTCCACCAGCAGAACCGCCGGGGAGAACTCTGCCTGGTCATCCGGCGCCCCCGGCGATTCCAACTGCGCCGGGGGGTCAGGGGCCTGAGGGCTGGGCGCCACTCCTCCAGCCGTGGCTCGCCGAGCCTCATCGGTGGCCTGCGTGCCACCGTAGCTCGAGATCTCCGGGGCCACCGCGAGCGGGGCCGCCTGAACATAGCGCTCCACCGCCGTGGAGGACCAGCGGCCCAGCAACTGGATGATCGCCGTCGCCAGCCAGGCCGCGCCGGCGACCCTCGCCAAGTGGCCGGCGAACAGCTGCACGATCTGGCCCTCGTGGTCGACCGTGGTGAGGGCCACGCCGGCGGCCAGCAACACCCGCCGGAAGAGCAGGACGGTCTCGCCTTTGGCCCAGGTGTTGCCCGCCGCGTCCGGGAACAAGGGCCCGCCTCGGACCCAGAGGCCTGCCGCTTTCAGCCGGGACACGTGGCGCAGCGCAGCGTGTGCCGGGCACATCGGCCGGGACTGGATGCCGCAAGCGCAACGGAGCTGCCGCGCCGTTAGCTCTCTCTCGCCACCCTGCGCCGTCTTGTGCAGGGGGATCCGAAGAAGGACCCAGTCCTCGCCGGCTTCCATGTCCTCGGTGCGGGCCGCCGCGAATTCGATTTCACGCAGCATGAACCACACCGCCAGGAGGAGGGCGTCCGCCGAGTGCGCCGCCTTCCATGGGGCGGACGCCGGCGAGGGATCCAGCAGAGGCTCCAGCCGCATGGCCGGGAAGATCGCCTTGAGCTTGGACCCCGCAAGGCCACGTACCACCGCCTTGGCGTAACGCCGGATGGCCCGCCGGACTAGCGGGTCCACCAGCTCGCCGCGGAAGTGTTCCTGGTAGGTCACCGCCGCGTCGAAGTAGTTCTGCGCCGAGCGGTACCTGCCCTTCCGCATGCTCGCCGCGACCTTCCTGACGGAGTCCAGGGAGATCGGCCACGCCGGCAGGGCCCAGGCCGCCGTGAAGTCCACCCAGGTCCGGACCCTGGACCGGAAGGGTCCTTCCGAGGAGCGCGCCATGATGGCGCCGTCGAGGTCCGCCAGCGACTCCGCCTGGAGCTCTGGCAAGGCTGCCTGAAGGGCCGTCCTCTTGCAGGCCCGCCGGCCGTCGCGCCTCACCGGGATGTCAGCCCTGACCGGCTGCGCCTGGGCCGGCTCCGGTTGAATGCCTTGCTCGCCTGGCGGGAGGGCCAACCTGCTCTCCGCCGGGCTGGGCGCCGGGGCTCGACTTGAGCTCTCCGGGGCCGGGCGCCACGCCCCCAGCCTAAGGAGCACCTCCTCTGGCACGCCGGCCAGGAGCAGTGCGCCGGTGTTGTCCAAGGCGCCTCGGAGGTCGTGCACCCCCACCGCCGGCAGGATCGGCAGGAACTCTTGAGCCTGGATGTCGACGAAGGCCCGCGCCACCTGGGCGAACCCGCCGCCGGCCGAGAGATCAACCGCCGACATCCTTGAGCCGGGGGGGAGCTTGAGCCGCTACGACCTCAACGAACGCGCCACGACGATTAGGGTCGGAGGGGGCGGGCCGGGTAGGAGACAGCACTGCCACTTGCGCCGACTGCACACCAGGCACACACCGCCGGGCCGACTTTTCGCGCCAGGCTATGATCCGAGGCTCTTGGGCCTCCCGACCTGCACTTACGGCACGCCGGGAAGCAAGTGCAGAAACAAATTAAAGCATCGTGGGCCAGCGGCCGCCGGAGAGGCCCGCGAAGGCGTCGCGGCACCGCCGGGACCCAAAAAGAAGAAACCGGCTGAGGGCTACGCCAGGAGACCTACCATGCGGGCGATCGCCAGGAAGAGGTAGGGCTCGCCGAGGTCAAAGTAGCCCGCCGGCGGGCGGCACTAGAACCGGCCGTCACGCGTGTTCCGGTAGCGCCGGCACGCATCGCACAGGTGATTGATGTGCGCCTCCAGGTCCACTGTGCCGCCGCGCCGAATGAGGATCGGGCGGAGGCATCTGCCGCCGGGGCTTTGGCAGACGCCCTCAAAGCCGGGACATGGCCGTCCACACCAGCCCACACACCAGACCTCGCCGGACAGCCGCTCGGGGATGCGACCGCCGCGATGGTTTGGAACCAGCGAGCGGACAATGTAATCCGCTGCGCCGGGAGACGTGGGCACCACGGCCGTGGCCGCACCGCCGCCAAGCCGCGCCCGATCCTCGAGCTCCTCGAGGGCCTCCACCGAGTCGACGATGGAGGCCAACATCGCCGCCGGGACCGGGACGTCCGAGGAGGCGCCGTCCTGGTTGATCCGCCGAATGTGGTTCTGCCACTCGACGGAGCAAAGCCGGAAGCGAACGTCAACCAGCCGCCGAAAGAGCTCATCGTTGTGGCGGCGCTCTGCTTCCGAAGCCCCCCGGCCGGGACGCCGCGGCAACTCCGGGAAGCCCTCCCCCGTGGTCCGGTTGACCGTGTAGGTGACGCCGCGGATTTCCATGCGGACGAAGCCGGGAGGGACGGGCGCCTGGGCCGCAGGGCCGGCAGGGGCCGGCTGTGCCGGGGTCCCCGCCGCGATCTCTGCCGCGATCTGGTTCTGCAGCGCCGTCATCTCCGCTGAGTTGGGGGCCGGCGTCTTGGCCACCGGCGCCGGCTTCGCCGGCGGGAAAGAGGACTGCTTCGCAGATGCCGCCGCCCAGGCCGCGTAGAACTCCGCCGCGGTGACGAAGTTGAGCTCCCGGGCCTGCCGGGCATCCGCCTCCGAGTTGAAGCCCTCGGAGGCCCACAGGGCGACAGGCGGGCCCTTCGGCTTTGGCTTAGCCGGGGCCGCCGTCGCCGGGGAAGGCTGCTGACCATCGCCGCTTCCCGCCGGCACCGGTGGAGGCCGCTTCTGCATCGGTGGCACCGGCCAGGGTGCCGGGTAGCCGGGCGCCTGCGAAGCAGCAGGGGGCTCCGGGTTGGGCTCCGGGATGCCCTGCCCCGCCGCGGCAGACGCCGCCATATCGCCCGAGCCAGAGGCACCAGTGCCGCCGGGAGCTCCATCGTTGGACCCAGATGCACCACCAACGCCGGGACCAACTGCCGGCGCAGCCGCCTTAGGCGGTGCCGGGTTTCCACTTACTGCTGTCCGGCTCGCCGGGAGCGACGCCTGCAGCATCAAGATGAGGGCACGCCTGGCGCCTGCGGGGAACTGTTGGAGGAAGGGAGCCAAGTCCTCCCCTTCCTCCAACGCCGCAAGGATCACCGCAAAGGCCGCCTCAAGATCCACCGCCGAGAAAGACATGGCAAGGCCGGGTGGAGATGCTACAGAACGTCTGACCGCCGAAAAAGCGATGTCGAGCCGGGACAGCTGCCGGCACGACGAATCGCTCATGTCCATGCGCACACACGTGTGCTACACGGCAACTTTAAGAACACAGCGCTCATGAGCAGAAGCAGGACCACGTAGACACGAGCACACATTTCACACGGACATAGTCTCACAATGAAACACAGGCTGCTGGCCGGCAGTTGGGGGATTGTTCCTTTTTTTCTTGCTGGAAGCCAGGGCCTTGCAACTCGCGACGTCAACATCGAAAACAGACAGGGTTGCAAAGATACACTGAGCTTGCTGTCTGGGCCTGTACGCATGACTATCCGATCGTCTTCCGGAGCTGGTTCAACATCTTCATCTCTCGCTCTGTCTGGCACTGTCTGGTGTTATGTTGTCAGCGGTCGCTTGCTGTCTTCTGACCATGTCTTTCTGCCCTACCGAGTTATTTTGAGGGAATGGCATGCTATTCGCCGGCCGAAGCTCGCCATCGCCTGCCTATTCCCCAACAACCCCCCCAACCCCCCCACCTAACCGTCCCGTGCCGGTCCTCGGCACCCCCACCCACCCACCCGGAAGGCTGCAACCAAGCCCTAAACTCCCCCAAGATCTTGACTCCGGACTTCGAGTCGGCACGCGCTCTCCGCTGGAATTGGCCGTGCCGAGGCGACGATGCTAAAACTGCTCTTCGTATATGACGTTTATATGTTATACTACAATGATTCTAATATTTTTATATGACGCGACGTGTACGCTGTTCTCAGAGTGTATCTTCGTAGTCGTGGCTCTCCCAGCTTCTAAACGCAGCTGTGACTTCTGCCCTCTGAGCGATGCCTCGCAGAATCCACGCGATGCCAGGATCGAGTCTACTGAGCGCCAACTCCAGCTGTGCTGAGCCTCAGCTCATCTCAGCTCAGAGCCACAAAGACCTGCACATCCTTAAACTCAAGCTCCCACAAGCGTCCCTTATCTTTAGCCTGGGCCCTATATACTCATGCGCATGCATCACGTATGAGGATGCAGTGGAGGGGCTTCTCAATGTAGCCGTCGTCACGCCAGGCAGAGGTCACAGTCTTCAGCTGCGTAAAGAAGTTAACGCCCGCCTGCGGCTAGAGAAGGCTGAACGGGCTCAAGGCAAGGCAGGCAAGGGACTGGACTGAATGCGAAGGCGATCAAGCGCGGCCTTGCCGTAGAAGTTCAGGTCTCCCAGGATCGACTTCTTGTTCCCCGTGAAGGAGAACATCGGCAGCGGAACCTCACAACGAGTGGACGAGCTGAGCCCAGAAGGGCCGAGGGCCGATGTGCGAAAGATCGCACCCCGTGTGACCGAGGAGCCGGGATCGGGACGTTGACGCCAACCTGCGAATTCCGGATCTTCCGGCAGCCGCGGCTAAAACCGCGAACAACAAAGAAGCCCCTTCTTCAGCAGGAAGCTCAGAAGCCCGACATTCATAAGCATACGCCATCACTGTGTTCAGGTTACGCCGATATGGCAAGATGCTTTAGGGGGAGACCGAAGCTGTCACCATCTTCAACATCGCCAGCACCAAAGACCGCTGACGTCGTGCAAGCACTGCAGTGTCAAATCGAGAAAGCCCCTGTTGTTCTCTGGGGCTGGGGGTTTTCATTGTGATTTGGCGGAAGTTCTCAAGGGGTCGACCACTTCCAGCTGGACAGCGGAGCTGGGAACGCACCCGTGTTTATCACAGCTCAACCTCTCCGTGCTTTGTCCCCGACTGCCGGGTGGCCTGTCCCGCTTCAATCTCGTCGGTGAATTTCCGGGCAGCCGCCCCGCTGCGCGTGAAGACGGCGGTGCCGTTGCCGTATGGGTTCCTGGGCTTGCCACGAGGTGACAGCCAAAGTTGGCTAATTGCTCCAACCTGCAACGAAACGGCTTGTTGCAAATGCTCCCGAGGCGCGAGTTCACGAAGTTGATGGCTTCCTCGAAGGAGTCGACCTCCACGCAGCAGAGCACCGGGCCAAAGATCTCGTTCTCGTAGATCTGCATTCCCTTCTTCACCTCTGCAAAGATGCTCGGCCCGACGAAATAGCCACTCTTGTTGACCTCTGGAAGGGAAGGCTTCCGTCCGTCCAGAAGCAAACGTGCACCCTCGTCCATGCCGGATTGGATCAGAGCCTCCACCCTTTCCTGTGCCTTCGAAGAGATCAAAGGGCCCACGTCGGTTTGGCCATCGTTTCCAGGGCCCACCCGGAGCTTGGCAGCCTGTTCGGCGATCTTGGGGATCCATTCCTTCGAGGCCCCGACGAAGACTGCCACGGAGATGGCCATGCATCGCTGCCCGGCAGCACCACATGAGGCGCCGACGAGCTGGTTCACCACACTCTCCGGGTCGGCATCGGGCAAAACGATGGCATGGTTCTTCGCGCCCAAATTGCACTGGGCGCGCTTGCCGTTCCTTCCCGCTCGCTCGTAGATGTGGGCACCTGCCGCGTTGCCACCCACGAAGGACACTGCCCGGATGTGCTCGTCATCGCATAAGAAGTTCACCGTGTCGTGACCGCCATGGACCACGTTTAAAACCCCAGGAGGCAAGCCGCAGTCGTGCGCCATCTCTGCAAGCATCACGGCCGACAAAGGAACTCTTTCGGAGGGCTTCAGCAGGAATGTGTTGCCGGCGGTGGTTGCCGGTGGGAACATCCAGAGCGGAATCATTGCTGGGAAGTTAAATGGAGCAATGCCGGCACAGACTCCGAGCGGCACCCTGTAGGAGTGCACATCGACACTGTTGGCCACATTCGGCAAGGTCTCCTGAGAGTTGTCTGGGCCAGTCTTAGGCAGAGTCAGAGCAAGAGCAGAGGCAAGAGCACAGACTTGGGGACGGGGAATGTCCATCCCGGAGGCGCCCCCCCACTTTGAAGCTTCAGCATCATCAGAGTTTGAGAAAGCTGCAAGGACGCCATCGCAACGGAATCCGAACATGAAAATGACAGGGCTCCCCTTGGATCATCGCCGGAATGTTGCAAGCCATCTCCACAACCTGACCATCCACGTATCCCATATGCGGCAGCTGGTCTTGAACTGTCTTCTTGGGCTCTTGCGGTGCATTGCAGAGCAATGAGCTTACATGAAGCATCAGACCTGAGTCCCGAGGCCTCCAGGCCACGGAAGATGTCGCCCTTGGCATCAGCGATGGTCTTGCCCTGCTCCTGCAGAAGAGCGCTTCGACACTTTCATCTTTCTACCGCGTTAACTGAGTCCTGAGTCGAAACATCATCGATGCCCCCATGTTTTGCACAGCGTCCTCCGAAATTACCTTCTGTGGCGACGATCTCTAGATGCCCTGACTTCTCACATCCGCGCGGCACAGGCTCCGCTCCCCCCGCGCCCCGCGCTCCTTCGTCAGAACTTGTGCGAGGGCATCAGTGTTGTCACGGATCGCACCCTCGAGCTTGTGCCTGATACAACGGGTGTTCATGCTAATTACATGCTACAACTCACAGTTTCACAGAGCTTCTAGGAAGCGGGTTAAGGACTGGGGCGTCGGTGACTGCACCGGAACTCCCAAGGCAAGGGCATCACGCGCGCCCGCGTGCTCGGAGGCGTCCGCCTCCACTCCTCAGAGGCCGAGGCTTCCGCTCTCGTCGGCTTGAGCGGAGGAGCATACGAGCATACATACGCCTCCGTCTTCTCTTTTGCTATCAGAGGGGTAGACCGGGTAGACGCAAGGAAGACACAGAAGCCTCAAGAGGCCGAAGCCCAAAAACTCGAGGAGGGCACCTTTGTCCCGAAATCCGAAGAACGAAAAGCACGCGGACCCGGAACGCCCCGCACCTTGAACGCCTCAGCACATGAGTCTGCTGCTGACCGCAGCCTCAGCCAGTTTGCGGCTCCATGCTTCTGAAGGCGATGCATGCCCAGTGGCTGCAGATGCTTACGTCTGTAGCTACAAGCACCATGTACAACGTTCATCCATTTTGCCTGCAGTATGCACCTTACGTCTGCTGGAAGCCCAGCTGCTCGTCTGGTGTACATTGGGGCGTCCGGGCAATCAGCTCGCCTGACCCGAACCGATGCACCGATGCACTGCACCCAAAAAAGGATCAGACTCTCCAATTGATCGAACCCGGCAGTCATGTAGTTTGAGATGAGAGTCCCAAAAAACACACACACACACACACACACACACACACACACACGCACACACACACACACACACCATCAGACAAAGAAGCACCCTCCCTCGGCTGGAGTCTCTCCTGTCGCAGGGTTGTGGACATCGAAGAAGGTGGAGGTCTTCGACGACACCTTCTTGCCGTCAAGAACCATAGGCACCTGAACAGAGACCGTGTCAGAGCTTGACACAGTGACATATAGTGCCTGCTCGTGCGGTATGGAAGCTCCCGAAATTCCTCGGCCTCCGCCACTGCGGCCATCTGCCGAGCGTGGAGAGCACGACACCGGAGAGGAGCCCGGAACATCGCCGTCGCCATGGCCGTGTGCCGAGAGTGCGGCTGCGAGATGAGTCTAGAAGAAAAAAGAAAAGGGAAAGGGCTGAGAGTAAACTGCAGGAGCTATCCTCTTTGGTGGGGCCCTGCCGGGGCGTAGAAGTCTGAGTCCCATGTGTGAGAAGCCGGTGAAGCTGTTGCCGAGCTCAGGGAGGTGAAATTGACTCACGAGAAGATCCGGCCACGTAATTCTCAAGCAGAGCTCACTTTCTTGCTCCAGTTCTCTTGCGCTCTTGGCAATGGACAATGCTGGCTTCAAAAGAGGTGAAACCGGGGTAAAATTGCGTCGGCTGGAAGTGCTTTGCCGCGAATTGATGGGTGTCTTGCCTCGAGGGCCTCACAGGCGCGAAGTGCCGACGACTTCGCGCTCACATCGGCCCAGGTGCAGAGAAAGGGAAGGGTCCCGGCGCCTCAGTCAGTGCAGTGATTAGCACACTGTGGCCGCGCGCGCGCGTAGCTGTAGCTACAAGCCAAAAGCAGAAATGTTGAGACGGGCTACCGGGCCGGCACTTTTGAACCCTAGCGCTGTGCGAGGAGAAGATTGGGATTCTCCGTGCTCTGCTCCCACAGCTCTTCAGCAGACGGGAGGACTTAAACATCTTGAAAATCCTGGCGGAAGCCAGCATTTGGAGCTCCTGCATGGCAGGCTTCCTTGGGAAGCTCGCTGTGAAGCCCAGTCTGCCATATAAGGACCGCTCTGAGTCCCCAAAAGGGTTTCTGCTCACAAGACTAAGACTTTATGAAGGCCCTGCTTTCTGGTTAGTGCGGCGCGCGCTGCGCATCAGAAGCCAGCAGACTGGAAGCGACCAACTGTCCATGTGCGGGGGCGGCCGTGCCGGCGAGGCTGTACAAGACCGCACAGGATCACAGGGTGCTCTGGCCAAAGCTCTTAGTAGGATCCGGTCTGCATGCCAATGGTTCCTTGGACGAGCACCCTGACAGCCAAGGTTGTCACCCGAAGTCGGGACGACGGACTACTACACTACTACACTAACACAAGGGCCGAACCACTTCGAACAAGGCTTCAGAGTGCCCTTTCCGCGTAGCTATGGCTGCAGAGAAGATTAAACTTAACTAAACAAGACTCAACGGTTTCGGTTCCCCCCTTTCGCTTCCATCGAAAATTGCTCAGCTGTCCTGAGGCTCCTCACGGGGTGTTTCGGGCCACTTCAGCTCTACGGACTCCATCCCGCCAGGTAGCGATCCTGACACCTGCAGCGCAGCACGTCCTGTAATTGAGTTTCGGCTTTTGGGGAGTCTTTCTGGCGAAACCTTTTGGGGAGTCTGGTCCCGATGCATTCCACGCCCTACGTCCTGGTTATGCACTGAGCCAGGGAGCGAGAGTGCCCAGCGACACCACGAGCTCAGAGAGTTGGTGGGTACCTGCCACCACGCTACACGCTGCGCTTGTTTGCTGGCCCTGCAGCTACCTCTGCGTAGATGAGGCTTGCGGCTTGCGGTTGAGGAATTGGAGCTTCACTTCTCAACCGACGAGCCCCACGTTTACAAAAGGTACCGGGGCAAAGCCTGCTCGGGACTACTACGAGCAGCAACCCAGAATACAGCCAAAACAACAACAGCAAAGATGACACTCCCGGGTAGCGGTGAGCAAAGCCTTGCTGCACAGCCATGAGCTCTTCCCAAAGCTTGTTGTTCTGCTGCTTCAAGGCCTCGAATCCGTGCAGTGTCTCGACATGCGAGCGGGCTTCTGCGCAATTCGTGGAAGGAGGTCCTGGTCCTATCTAGTCAATCTAGTCTTCGGCTCTTCTTCGGCTCTTCGCAGCTCAATCTCCGCTTAGGTGCAAAGAGGTCCACTGATCTGGCTGGCCCATGGAGCTGGAGGCACCGCTCCTTAAACTCCTGCACCACAGCGGCATCTATTTCTGCCATTCTATTCTACCGCTCTTCTGAACAGGGTTTAGGCGGTCTAGGGAGTCAGGGCGTTGGGCCGTCTAGGCTTCGCCTAAGAAGAGCCTCAAAGCTGATCAGGTGGTCCCCATCGGCGTCCAAGCTATCGAAGAGCGTCCATGCATCCATGGCATTCATCTCGATCGCACCGAAAAAGGCTCTCATGTCCTCCTCCTCAAACATGCGCTCGAACTCTGTGATGGTGATTTTCCCCGCCCCTGCCTTGTCCAACTTCTTCCACAAGTCTCCGACGAGATCTTTGAGTTTGTACATATTTTGCATGAGCGTCTCGTGATCTTTTTCCCGTGTCTTGATGGCACTATTCACAAAAACTCCTGTGATGACATTGAGAACGGCCAGCCCACAGAAAGCAATGTACAGGTGAAAGAGCTGTACCCAGAATTCGCCCAAAGGCAGCAAAGCGTCAGCGGCTACGCTCCAGTCAAAGCCATTCATCAATGCACGGAAGAGTGTTGTGCAAGAGTGAAAGACGCTCCCAAAATACAGCTTCAAATCCGCCTCCTCAATCTCGTCGAACCAGAACCTCAGTTGACAGCGCTGCCGCGCAAAACAACTTCTTTGGCACGCATCGCTGTCCTGTGTTCGGGACAAGACTGGGGTGGGAAGATATTTCCACCTCGCTGTTTCGCTGCTACTGTCTGATGATATGCGAGCACAACCACCAGAAGCACAAACACACGCACCATGCAGAGGACAAAAGAGACAGGGTGACATGTAGAGAAACACAGACGGACAAAGAAACACACACACACACACACATTTTAACTATGTGTATATATATACACACACATATATATATGCACATACATATCATATCTGTATATATAGTTATATATCCTATAGAGCATATGTATGTGTATATATATATATGCTTAAACACGTCGGCACAGAGATGTATACATTGGTGTGTGTGTGTGTGCATATATATATATATATATATATCCGCTGACCCCTGTGGCGGGCGGCGCCAGTGATATCCCGAGAGGTGTGTTCGATGTCTGGGGAGTGTGTTAGAGAGCAAGCAAAAGTTGCCCGTTCTCACCGCTTTACCCACTGCCCTCACCACGCCCCCAGTGCCCTCACCACCACCACCCCCACTGCTCTCACCACCCCCACCGCCTTTACCGCCGCCACTGCCCACACCACTCTTACTGCCCTTGTTGTAGTACTGTGGAGTGCCGCTCCCGCCCTCACCACCGCCACCGCTCTTACCACCGTTCTCACCACCCCCACTGCCGCCACCGCCCTCACCACCGCCACCGCCCCCGCATTCACCGCTGTATTTGTAAGTGTTTAAAGAGTATTTAAAGGCTGCCAATGTGTGCCCGGACCCCGCCGCGCACCCACCGCCCCCACCGCCCTCACCACCCTCACCGCCCTCACCACCCCACCACCCCCACCGCTCTCACCGTTCTCACCGCTTTACCCACTGCCCTCACCACGCCCCCAGTGCCCTCACCACCACCACCACCCCCACTGCTCTCAGCACCCCCACCGCCTTTACCGCCGCCACTGCCCACACCACTGTTACTGCCCTTGTAGTGCTGTGGAGTTCGCTGTATTTGTAGATGTTTAGAAAGTATGTACCACCGCCCTTACCGCCGCCACGGCCCACACCACTTTGCGGCCCTTGTAGTACTGTGGAGTTCGCTGTATTTGTAGGTGGTTCGAGAGAATAAAAACCTGCCAATGTGTGCTCGACCCCACCGCCCCCACCGCCCTCACCACCCCCACCGCCTGTACCGCCGCCATTGCCCACACCACTCTTACTGCCTTTGTAGTACTGTGGAGTTCGCTGTATTTGTGGATGTTTAGAGAGTATGTACCACCGCCCTTACCTCAAACCCAGACCCTACTAAACCCTGAGGCCCTAAACCCCTAACCGCCACGGAGGGCGCCCTAAACCCCTAACCGCCACGGAGGGCGCCTAACCGCCACGGAGGGCGACGGAGGGCGAAACCCTAACCGCTTTTGCAGGCGAAACCCTATTGCCAGCCTACAACTACTACCCCGCCCCCCACCCCTTTAAAACGCCGGCCTCCCGCTGTCGACCACCAAGAGGACGGCGCCGGGCGGTGTGTACAAAGGACAGGGACGTAATCAGCACGAGCTGATGACTCGCGCTTACTAGAATGCCTCGTTGAAGACCAATAATTGCAATGATCTCTCCCATCACAATACATTTTAAAAGGATTTCCCGGCCATTACAAGCAAGATTGCAACTCGGGCTTGAAGGTACACTTCTCATGTGCATGTCATCTTTGTGCAGCAGCCATGCTAACCTTCTCTGTCTCCTTCCAAGGGCTTGCTTGGCTTGTTTTGGTACAGCACACTTCTCGATTTGTGAGTGTCATCTTTGCGCGGAGCCATGCTTATCTTCTCTGTGTCGTTCCAAGTACTTTGGTACCACACACTTCTCGATTCGTGCGTGTCATCTTTGCGCAGGAGCCATGCTAATCGGAGAATTCCCTTGGGCATCCTACACCCTAGTATACTATAGAAATGTTACAGATAAACCGCTGCTAAACCACTATGACATGAATATGACATGAAGTCTCCATGGAAGCTGCTCGTCCTCTTGCCTGCTTCTGGGGTCGGCGGCATTGGCGGCAGCCATTAAATCGGGCAGCGCTTCGCTGCCCTGTATGGACTGAGCTATGGCTCAGACGAATGAGCTTCGTCTGCGAAGCAGAAGCCACGACCGACAGTGCCGCCGACCCGCCCCGGACCCCGCATCATCGGACCCTCGTTTCTCCCTCGGGCCGCGCGGGGCCTGGCCCGAAGGCGTCTCGGAACGCGCACGCGTTTTGCAGCCATTCCCCGCGGTGTGGCGGGTTTCGGGGCCGCCGTGGACGACGCCAGGAGGCGAGCCGGCGAGCATCATGAGCCCTCGGGCGCCCGCAACCGGCGCCGGCGGCGCGACGTGGGCGCGAAGTCATAACTCCCAAGTTTTTGAGTGGGTTGCGGAAGCCGCCAAAGGGCGCGCATCATGAGCATCAGCGGGGTCCGGCGGACGGGGGGTGCGGGCTACATGCAGGGCCGACGGGGGCTGAGAGCCTACGATCACCCACAAGTTGCGCACTTCGGGCCTACGTTGCACTTATCTATATACCGCGGGTTTCTGACAACAGCTCGCGCTGCCCGCACCTGGGCGCAGCCCCTAAATAAATAAATATATATATATATATATATACAGACGTATAAATCATGTATGATATCCGCCGACCCCCTTTGGCGCACTGAAGTTGTTTGTTCAACGCTGCCGCAAGCTCTTTCCCGCACAGTGCTCATGCCAGCTACTGTGCGCATTGAATCACTTTCCGAGCCCTTTCGCGTAGGGTCGCATGCCCACTAAAGGAAAGAAAAGTCGCCAGAAAAAAATCGCGAGCGCTCCCGCTGGGGGCCCCAGTTGATGTTGTTATGTATTCATAAGTTACGCAAGATTTGGCTGCTTCTTCAGCGCTATTCTGGAGTTTTTCTGGCTGCTTTTCAGCGCCATTGCGTGGTAAGAGTACATGAGTATAGGTTGCATACTACAGATACAGAGCCAATCCTAGGCGCACGGGCCCTTTCACAGTGCCCGTATGCCGAAAGGGGCCAGTGCCCATTTCCAGCTTGTCGTTTCTATTGCTTGTGGCGATGGGCCCTCTCACAGTGCCCATCGCCTGACCTCCAACTGCCAGGCTCCACCTGTCCCAAATCCGAGCAAAGCCACAGGTGATACAGAACCGCATCGGTAAAGAGGATGCCAAAGCTGTAGATGATCAGGATCAACAGGACCATGGCCCAAAGCCTGGGACTGCAGTTTAGGCGGCTTCAAGCAGCTTAAGGCTTTAAGGCTCAAGAGAGACCTAAGCCCGGAATTCGGCCTCGTCAGCCCCGAGCCCCCTACATGAAACCGTGAGTGAGACTATGCTGTACTATGCTACGGGCAAATGAGGATTTTGCGACGGATTAGCATTGCCTCCTGTACTACTCACGGCCATGGCTCAGTTGCCGCGTCGTGTCGATCACCGAGTAGACCAGCGCGCGAAATGCGCTTACGAAGCGAACCTCGTCGCATCGGGCTCGGGGGAAAGAGTTGCGGCTGAATGCTGCAATTTGGAATGCAATCTCTGTTGTGCAATCGGCTTGATAGATAGCACTTTTGATAGCCAGCATGCTCGCACGCATCGTGAGATGATGATAGATTTGGTTCCAGAATGCAAAGTGAGTGATCACCCCAACCTCCCTATCTTCATTCTCACCAACACCATCACGATCATCATCGTCATCATAATCATCATCATCGTCATCATCCTCATCATCATCATCATCGAAACATCATCATGAGTATCATCATCATGCATCCGGCCGTGTTTCCGACCAGTGTGACGGTTGCTAGCAGCTGGATACATGTTAAACCGATCTGTGCAAGGCCGAGCCACTATTCGCACTGATCGCAGCACCTGGAGCAGCCTGGTGAGCTTGAACACCTGCCAGACGAAACGCGACATGTAGCCGCAACAAAGGCAGTACCAGTCAACGGGGAAGTAGCAAAAGCAAGATAGACTGCAGCACGACAGGATGGAGGGGCAAATCCTTCTGTTGGCTCAGCAAGTTTCAAAGAAATCATGGGGATTCGAAACCGCGGCTTAGGGCAGAAGCTTTGTTGGGGCCCCCCAAAGGGCGGCGCGCCCGGATGATGCGGAAGTTGCTGGCTCCGGTCCCCGGCTCCGTGGCGTTGGCAGAGGCGATGTCCATGCAGATTTCCACCCAGGCCGGGACCACGACCTCGTGATCGGGCGCTCGGGCGAGCAGAGACTCAGGGCACACCCCGAAGGTGACGGACTCAGGCAGATGTCTGCAGCCAGGCAACCATTATGTCCAGCCAATTCCAAGCGCAGGAGTGCCCGAAGAAGTAGGTCTTTGGACCGGTTGCGATGAAGCGGATGAGCATCTCCTGGGATGGAAAAGAAGATATGCTATTATGCTAGTGACCACCATTTTGCAATCGCTATCGTTCTGGCTCTTGATGCATTTGACCACTACGCGTCGTTGCTTGTGATGCGACTACTCTCAACATTTTCAGCATCATCGCCAACAGCATGCCAGAAAAGCTGCGTCATCTAAGAGAACAGCGAAGCTCATCCGGCGGTACTGACAGGCAGGGCATTAACAATGAACAGACCCGCCGAGGCTCCACCGAGAACAAGGTCGCGTAGATCAGGTGCCCGGCCAGAAACCTGGACTGCAGAGCCAACACGGCCCAGGCAGGCAGGTAACGACTCGAAAATCGTCTCGAGCGAACGTATGTGCTACCTCCCGGCCACTACAGTCGTCAGAAATGAAATGACTTACTGCTTGCACCTGCGTCGTGCTATCCGTCGCCTTCCACGCATGACACCTGCACTTTGGCCAAGGCCATAGAGCCATAGAGCGAACTTCCTCTTTTGAAGAACCCGGATGCCAAGCGACGCGGGCTCCACGAGCTGATCCACCTCGCGGGAGGGCCACGGGGAGGTCAAGCCGAGCCGAGGGGTTAGTGACTTGGTGCGTTGGGTCCTTGCACATCGCACGATGCGCACCCTAATTGAGTGAGGAGGTACCAGTAGCCCTGCTATCCCATCTCGGGCTCCCCAACTGCACCTGCCAGGCACTCCACTCCAATTGGAGGCCCAGAAACACGGAGTTGGAAACGATGACCTGGCAGGTGCTGGGCAGCTCCTCTCGAGGAAGTCTTTCAAAAACACTTCGTCTTGATCGCAAACTCTTAGCTCTATCCCAGAAGCCTCTTGAACTCGGAATTCCCAAGCCCTCCCCTCCCCCCCCGGCCACGCCGAAGAAGACGTTGAAGGCCAAGGAGTTGGCGAGTCTCGCGGCCTTTTGCTGCATCTTCCGGGCCCAGGACTGCAGCTTGGTCCTCACAACGGGCTTCAGGGAGGCTACCGACTAGGACAACCTCGAAACGAAAGCACCAGCCACATCAACAACAGCCCCGAAGGCCCCCAAATCCCTGAAGCCCCGAAACTCCTAAAACCCTAAGGCCCTTTAAAGCCCCCGCCGGCCCGCCAAAACAAAACACTAACTCCCTTCCCACGAACAATCAAGCTAATAATCCCGATCACTCCTGGTCTTCGACGTCTGCCGCGACGCCATGGCCAAGTTCTTCCTTGGCCGCCGCTGCTTTTGCTTTCTTTACTTCTGGTTGGACGTGGGTTTTTTTGGGGGTTCCTAGGGTTTCAATACATAGGGGGTTAGGGGCTATAGGAAGCTGAAGCCCTGAGCCCAGCTTCATGGACTCGATCCGGTCGGCCTCCGAGTGCGCAAGCTCATAGTCCTCCGAATGGATGGACCTCCTCTGGGGCTTCTCCTCCACCTTGTCTCGATCCTGTCGTTGCTTAAGGACTGTAGCTTTACGGCTCTTCTAGCAGGATTCTTATGCGCAGGTGCAAAGTGTCCTCGTCCCGCCGGGACCGGGTGGACCGGGCGGACATGTTGGAGATCCGATTCGTCATCGGCACAGGGGTCGCCTGAGCTCATGCCGAAGCTCTGAGCAAGGAGCACTCGGATCCTTCATTCAGCACGCTTCGTTGACCGTCTTATCTGTTTCTGAAGATATGGCAGATATGACCATAAATGCATACAAATAGCTGGATAGGCTGGGTAGATAGGGAGATAGGCAGGCAGGCACATACGTCATACGTAGGCAGATACCCAGGAGATCTCAAATTCTCAAAGTCTCGTCCAGCGGTTTGCTCCGGTTTCCCAGTTTGTCCAGTCCCTTTCGAGCGGTTTGCTTTCGTGTTTTCCAAATGATTCTCAAATTGCCCAATCCCTTTCGAGTGGGGTGCTCTTATTTCTCAAAGTCGCTAGTCTAGCGGTTTGCGCCTGTGGTTCGTTACTGTTGTTGTCGGCCGTTCAAGCTTTATCCTCTCAAGTCCACAAACTTCCTGTCTCTCTCTCTCTCTCTCTGGCGGTGTGTGCGTCTCGTCATCTTCTGGTCCCCTTAGACTGGTCTCCTCCTCTTTGACGAATGCTCCTCTTCGTCAAACCAACTGGTGTCTATCGAACGGCTGGCTCACAAATTCCCTAGACCTCTTCGAACGTTGATCCTCCCACTAGTGGTTCTTCTTCGGCTCTCTTGCAGGCTTTCTAGCGTCTTTCGGGCGGTTCGCCCCTGTGTCTCGGTTTGCATTGGCCCCTTCGATTGGCTTTGGAGCGATTTTGCTTCTGTTTCCCAACCTGTGCAATTGGCCCTTTTGACGTATTTGCGTCCTCTTTCTCAAACTTTCTTTGTGTCAAAGACATGCGGTTGTGTTTCCAGAGGCATGTCCTCGCTCGAATTCCCTACCCTCCTCTTTCGAGCGATTATAGTTCTCTTCTGAAGGTTTTCCGTCCAGGCCGCCTATGGGGTCCATATCGAGTGCACACTCTGCGCGCCTATGCTAGTGGTGGTGCTGGCGGTGCTGGTGCTGGTGCTGCTGCTGCTGCTGGTCGACTGCACACCACCAAGCATGAACGCACATGTAGATGTGTCAGGACTCCACCCCATGTGCAGAAAAGATCAGGAAAGCACCTGGCGAGCCCAATCCGAGATCGTGCGTGGTGGGAGCTGCTCGTCCAGCTTGGAAAGCCAGGATTCAAGCCGCAGAATCAGTGCATTGTGCTGCCTCTGCAGCACCTGCTGCCACACTGGGGGCATGTCGGGTTGTGCTTCAGGCATTGAGGGCTGCTGAACGCATCCTGGAGCTTCGCACAGAAGCGGGTCTAGGAAAGGACGAAAACCCGGTTACTTTCGCAAGTTGGAAGCCGAGCTCAAGGGCGAAACCCAGTCCATTGATCAAAAGGAGTACTCACCAACAATTCGGATGCCGTGCCTCTTCGACCAGCTTTTGCATCTGATCCTTTTGATCCGCTGGAGCATCGCAATTCGTGTCCATCGCTGGACATAAGCAACTGCTCATCATCTCCGCGATTTGGGCCAAGCTGCAGTCGCATGCCTTTATCCATCCTGTCCGAAATCTCACATCAAAATCGCCCCGGCCGTATTGTGAACCTGACTGCATCATTATCACCTCTCTGCGTCAACTCCGCACCAAGTGGCCACCCCGAAAGGCGATCTCCTAGTGTTCAGGATAATTCAACTTGCCACTTTGCCCCACGGAGGTGTGTTTTACTCACGGCTTTGCTTTGATCCAGAAACATATCGTGATCCGACATCGAAACTGCTAGTAGCAATTATGATGTCGCTTGGGATGATGATGCTGATGGCGACAGTGACTAGCATGACGACAAATATCGACATATGCTCCGAACAGCATGCGGGTGTTTGGCGGTGGCGATGGTTGCGACTACGATGGCGATCTTTGTCATGCCACTCATGATGCCTCATATGGTTTTGGGTAGACTAGTCCATTGCTTGACTTACCTAGAACTACACCCGGCTCTCGCTTGCACAGGCGACGGCCACAGACGGTGGAACCGCTGTGGACCTTAGCGTTGAAGCTGCCGATCCCGAATTCCGCATGTTTACCCGCATAAGCCGCTCAGGGCGCGGCTGTGGCAGCACCGGGGGCGGGAATCCGAGCGGTGGACTGCCAGAGTCAGAGTCGAAATAAAGAGGGCTCTCGAAACCGCAGCTGAGATGTGCCTCAAGCTTGGTGGTGTAAACAGCGAGGGCCCAGGCGGAAGTGGATACCTCTCAGCGACATGGAGCTCTTGCAGAAGAGTCTCAGCAGTCTCCTTCTTCCATCATGCGTCGCTTCAAAGGGGCCTCGGCAGGGCGTCGCTGCGTCCCGGGGTTGGTCCCGGTGCCTCAGCAGCGCCGCAGCGCCACTCAGCTCTTCTCCGGTCTCTATGCACGCGTGTGGCGCAGGCACGCAGAAGTCTTCGTGCGCCGCGGTCTGGGGGGCCGGCAGGCAACCCGTAGGGCCTCGAGGTCAGGGCACCGGGAAAGATTCCGAAGTGCGACCCGTGCGAGCCGTGCAGTCCGAGCTCGAGAGTGGAGAAGCCGAGAGCCCTGCTGATAGGCGCCCGTGAAGCCTCGCACGGACGATGCAGAAGGCAGCTGCGGTGTCTTTGGGTTTCCAGCACCCTCACCCTCGTCATCTCGCAAGAGAAAGGCATCTAGGCGGTGCCTGTGGTCTGTGGCATTCGAGGGGTCGGCCCTCCTGCGCCGAAATCAGTGCCGGCGCACACAGCACTCGAAGTCAGCTTTGCCCGACATGCCAACTCGTTTCCGTGCTCGCCGTTTCGTCCTTGCCCAGGAGGAGGCCAGGCATAGTGCCTGCGCAGGAAACGTTGACACAGGACAGGTACGGCAGTGTGATAACCAGCTCTGCGGAGGCCGAGGTCCCAACGCTGCTGGCATCCCGGGCATCGTGGGGATGCCAGCCGCGGCTGCCGCCGGCGGGTTCGCCGCTGGAGGATTTGCTGGGGGCGGGGCCTTCAGATGCGCTCTGCCCCAAACCGCTCAGACGTCAACTAGTAGCGAGTGTGACGGTGCCCCATCTTGTCACGAATGCTTGGCCCCCGTGCTTGAGGGAGCCGCTGGCCGTTCGTTCCGGCCTCAAGACACGCAGACGAAGAGAAAGACTCCCACTTAAGGCGGGTCACCGAAGCCAAGGCGGCAGCCGGCTGCGGCGGCTGGGGCTCCAGTACGGGTGGCGCAGGCCTCGGCGGAGCACTCGCCCAGACTTTGAGGCCTATAAGGGCCGTGCAGGGCCTGAACGCCTGAAGAGGAAGCAGAGAAGTGTTTTGAGTCGGACTCCGAAAACAAGCCATCAAGGGACTCCGAGGATGGAACTTTGGATTCTCCATGCCCGCCGATGTCCGCCGCTCGCCCTGCACAAGCCCGGGGCTGTGTGTGTCGGATCTTCTGACAAACGTTCTCTTCGGACGCTAAGCCTGCATCCGTGTATTGCGGTATTGTCGCGCTGCTCTGCGAAAACTCAGAGTAGCTCACTGCTAAATCGCCTAGACTCAGGCTTGAGTTTCGGCGATTGCTAGCGTGAGTTTTTTCAGGCTACGAAAACGCAGTAAACAACGGGTCTGCTGCATGTTTGCATTTGGAACGGACGCTTGTGACAGTGTTCTCGTTGGAGGAACTGCTTGCAATGGATGGACCTGCACCGGCGGCCACGACTACGACGTCGCCGACTCCACACGCAGCAAAAGCATCACAATCACTGCAACCACTGGACCACGGTCACAGCAGCCGCTGTACATCACCACGCCAACATCATCATCGTCGGCAATTAGATTGTTTTGTCGCTGTTGCCATTGGCAGTCTTAGTTCGTCTTTTTCGGGCTTGTGTATCTTCATGAACCCCATCGTGATGGCAACCCCAGGTATTAACGAAACGGTCAGCCTGAATGTAGCTCTCTATGACTTCTGGGGCCCAGAAGAACTTTTCGAGACAGGCTCTGATGCTCTCGTGGGGCCTTCCGGCGCTGGCCACTTTGGTCCAGCTTCAAGGCGATTTGTTTCTTGTACCTTCGCTTCTCGCAGGGCTCGGACGGGGCCTATGGGCCTAGAGGCTGAACTCAAAATGCAGGGCTCGGTGGATTCGGCCGTCCAGGAAGAACAGTTGGCTTCAACAGGCTCCAACTCTCTCAGGCTCCTGCTTGCTCAGGAGCTCGCGTGGAACCTGAACATGGCTGAAGCACAGCACGAGCCCTGCGCTTACGTAGGCGCACACTGCTCAAAGCAGGCTGGAAACTTTGAGAACGAGGAAGGAACCGCTCCAAAGGAACGGGAATTTGTGAACAAGGAGCAAACGGCTCGAAAGGAACCACACAGTTTGAGAAAGGAGCAAACGAGAAATTGAAAAAAGAGCTGCAAGCTGCTCAGAGGAGAAGAACAGAAATGGGAGAACGTTGCAAACCACTCCAACGAGACTGAAAGAGACTAGAGTGTTTGAGAAATCAAACCGTGCGAAAGAAAGAGACTAGGGAATTGTAGAAGAAGGAGCAAGCTGCTCGAAAGAGAGGACACAGTTTGAGAACAAGGAGCAAACCGCTCGAAAGAGACTAGAGACTTTGAGAACCAGGAGCAAACCGCTCGAAGCATCCCTGAACAAGCTGCACAATGACACTCAAGAGGTGGCCACAAAGGATGGAGTGAGTCTGGGAGTCTGATCTTTGGATCCTTGCTACCGCCAGCATCCTGCCCTGGTGCATGGGTTTGAGGATTCTGAACATCTTTGCAGACCCGAATGGTTGATGGAGAGAAGATCACTCCAAGAAGCTTCGGAAGAGCTTTCGTGAGACGCAAGAGGCTCTCTTCCTGTGGCTCCGTGCAAGTCTGGCCCTGCCATGCCCTGCCTCCCTCCCATCTTTCGTATAGTCGGCTGCCCTTTCCCGGACGAGGGCCTCCAAAGGAGAGAACTCTGCAGCTCTCTGAGTCTGGAGTTCGAGCTCTTGCGCCTGCTCCTTGGCCACTTTCATGGCCTCCAGCCGCGAGTAGACCTTGTGAGTGTCGTGGAACGACCTGGGCAGCTAGTGCAGCTAGTGGCTAACGGCCTGACAACCCCTCCACATCAGTCAAAACCCCCAAGCCTTCGGTGTCGCCTCCGAGCCTTTCTCTTCGTTCTCAGCCTCTTGCATGCGCTTCTCCCGGGGGATGCTGTGGAGCGACGTATCCACGCCAATCCCTGCACTCCCGGCGGGTTGTTCGCTTAGGGTTGATGGAGCTAGGATTACTGGTGTGGAGAGGTTCGAGTTCAGAAGTATAGGGTTGTGAGAATTTCAGCCGGTGCATTTTGGCCATCAGGATTTGTAAGGCAGGAGCCAGGGGCATGTGTCGCTTGAAACGCGAAGCGCAAAGGCTGGGGCACCGCTTTTTCAAGCTCAGCTGGTCCCCGCAAGTTTCGGCGGAGCACTACTGCTCGGCCGGGACTTGGGGGGAACCTCAAGATCGATCCGACTACAGCTAAACTGCTACATGTAAACAGCCCGTGCTTGGCTTGGTCAAAGCTGGAGCCGACAAACTTTAACGGGACAGATGCTGTACAGTGGTCACCTTCGTAGGGATCAGCTCCTGCAGCCAAATCTAAGCCATCCCAGGGACACGCACTTGCAGAGAGGCAGCGGTGAATCCTTCAGCTATGCGTTCTGGCCTTTTCAGCCCGGTAAACACCTCCTCCCTGGTCTCTTGCGATACCCGACAAAAGCCGCCGTCGTATGTCGCGGCCATCACCCTCACCCTCAACACCAGCATCATCATCATCATCCATATCCGTCACCAGCCTCTTCCTCCTCCTCCTCTTCCTCCTCCTGTTACCGCTTCTTTTGCTCAGTACCCTCATCTTGTGATGCAGCTCTTCTAAAAACAAGTTGTGCCGGACAATCTGCCTCGAAGAGAGACTACCAAGCACCCGAGGTGTTCTCGTTGCAAATTGCATCACATATACTTATCGTGAAGGTCGAGGTGGCGACAAGAGGAAGTGGACAGGAGAAAGAGTAGCAGAAGAGACCGGAGTAGGAGATAGTAGGAGCAGCAGTAATCAGACTGGCAACGACGAGTGGGCAGATGAAGAATCTCCCAAGAATAACCATCCCGGGAGTCCTAGGGCAAGGTCAAAGCACAGCTCACTGCTTCCTGCAGCTGCCACAACATGCATCTTTCCGCTCGCACATGAATTCGTGAGGTCTATGGTCTAGAGGCATCTGGTGAAACGCGAACATCAGATTTCGATTCTGACATCGCCGGTTAACATCTGCAAAGACTCCCGGCTTGGGAGCCGTGCTGCCTGGTGCCTGCACGGAGCCGCTCACTTTTCGAGCAGCCTGAGACAAAGCGGCGAGAAGCCCCGAAACCCCAAGCAGTGATACCACGGACATCCCGGACCAGAACGCAGAGCTCTGAACTCATCCCAGCGGCTGGCGGTCCAAGTCCAGCCTTCCTTTCCGTCGCTCGGAGCCCAGCTGCTCACGAAGGTAGCGGTTCCTGAGGCAACACCCCGCGGGGGAGGAGGCGCGCATCGCAAACGGAGGCTCCTCTTCGCCGAGCTTCTGGGATCGGAGCGACTCCAAGGTCTCGGTGACGGCTTTGGGAACCACGGAGGCCGGGGCCTCGTCGAGAGGATCCACAGGAACTCTTCCATGAGTCTCTCACGTGATCCCGTCGCCTTGCCTCGTCCAAGGGCAGCTTCAGCACCTCCTTGCTCTGCAGCGCCCTGGGCCAGAGCTGGTGCAGCCGTTACAGTGGGTAGCTCTAGGTCGCTAGGAGTCTCTGGCTTCGTCGTAGCCGCGGCTCCTACTGTGATTTAATTACGGCCCGCCACGGGTTTCGGCTCTGAACTCTGGGAATGGCTCACAGACGCGCCATCACGGGGAGCAGAGCTCAGCAGTCAGAGGCGCCTGAGGCGCAGGTCGAGCTGATCGAGGAGGTTCTTGAACTCCGTCACCTGCAGAGCAAGAGATATTGCGAGAGAGAAAGAGATGGGAGACGAGCTGGAAGCAACACAAAGGAGTGAGAAATGGACTGACTAAGAAACACCAGAGGAATGTCACAAGATGATCAAAAGGGAAAGGGAAAGTTCCCTCATAAACTTCAGAAACATTGCAGGGAAAAGCCCGCAGCACCTCCGTGTCCTCCGGGTCCGCATCTGGGGCCTCTGCGTCTGCTTTCGGCCCGCTTTCGGGGTGGTTGAGGGGTGCCAGGCCTCGCCGTCTGCAGCTGCCGGCGGCTGCGGCGCCGCGCCCTCGCCCTCTGGGAAGGCCTCGTCCATCTTGGCCGCAAGATCCTCCAAGCCAGAGCAGAGCTTGAGAGCAGAGCTTATGGCTTATAAGACTTGAGCCTTTTTGGGCACAGGGCGCCGCGACCTCGCCTTGAGCTCGCGAAGCTCGGCGTTCTCGGGATCCAGGAAGCTCGGAGGGCACGGGGCCGGGGCCTCCGCGGACTCGGGCGAAGGCTCCTGGAGAGGCAACCCAAGAACTCCGCTCTAAAGGGTCCCGCTCAGAAGTCACAGGCGTCCTCGCATCCCGGCTGCGAATCGCGCCGCTGCTGCTTCCGGAACTCGGCCACTTGCCGTTGCAGCTCCTGGTCCTTGGCTGACAAAGACAGGCAGAGACCCTGCAAAGCGCGCATTTCTGCAGACTCTCTGTCAGTACGGCTCTTAGAGGCCGAGGCGCCATGAGTTCGATCTCCCGGTCCACCGTGTTCCCGGCCTGCTCCGCGCGGGAGAGCAAAGCATCAGCCGGGGTCGGCGCCCCGCCGCCCGCAGCTCGCACCTGACATGCCGCAGAGGAGCAGCCGCCAACCATCCTAACATATCCTAACCATCCCACTCCCACAACCGTTTTGGACCCACACGCAATCTCCCCCCTACAGCCCTCAAGAAAATTAGCCCTGGTCAGAGCAGAGGTGAGAACAGCAGCGGCGGGAGCCAGCATGCTATTGGTGCCTAGCAGCAGCAGTGCAATGGTGACAAGCTGTGGCGTGACTTTCCTCGTTGAAAAAATGCTTATTGAATAAACCATTACGACAATGTTCTTATCCTTCGTACCAGCACGAAACCGCAAAGGAAATCCTGCTCAAGAGCCTCCACTCTCTGCAAGTTGCAGTACCACCAATTCAGACCTCCATTGCTTCCGGTCTCCTTCCGGCCTGGGCCCTTGGTGTGGCTCGCGGCGTGGAGCGCCCCCGGCTCGGTGGGACCTGGACGGCAGGGAATGGCCGAGAGTTTGGGCTTCCGATGCCCGCCGCAGCTGCTGCTCGACTTGTTCCGACTGCAACAGAAGTTTCCGGAGGTTGCGTATTTCTGCCGGCTGAGGGCATCTGCTCTCTGCTCCTATGCAGGGGGGGAGGTGCTCGCAGGTCTCATGACTTATGACAGACTCTAACAAAGACAGATGTGTACAGCAGCAGCAGCAGTAGCAGATTGTGACTACGGTCTGAACGCAAAATGCTGCCACGGAAAGCATGCGGCGTATGGTACAGCGAGCATGCCAGCTGCAAAGTCGTTCACGCTGATGCTCGCAGCAGTTGATCCGGAGGCGCTGTCACGATTGAGCAGCACGTTAGTGTTGATTTAGTGTTGGTTCTCAACATTCCTGTACTCATCGTCGCATCCCCATGAGATCGACTGTCACTGTGTCACTTTTATCCGTCTTTGTATCACTACCTGAATCTCACTACCTGCTAGCGCGCATCGCAACATCAATGTTATCAGTTCACACATGAATACAGTAAGAGCCGACATCATTCTGTTAGTATGAACGTGCCGTGATCGTAAAATCGTTGATGGTTACCAGAGTTGCCTTTGGCTATCCTGTGCTAGCATCTATGTCTCTGCCGTCACTGTCAAGCTGGGATGCACAGATTAAGAACAGCGGCCTCCTTCTCTCGCTGCGCCCGGAGCGCGGCCAAAGCGGCCAGCTCCTCAACTCAAACTTACATGCAAGCACTCCAGCTACAAGCTTGAGTGTTTTGATGACATTGCATAATGCGATCGATGAAGAAGAAGTTGCTCATGATGATCATGCTGATAATGATGGTGATGATGACGGTGTGTGACGCATACTGACCGTAGCTGCAGACCCGACGCATCGTTCAACAAGAGTTGGTACATGTACACATGCACAAACACACACAAAACCGATTGTATTCATGCATATATGTATACATATGCATAGACAACATACTTTTACAGACTTTTCATCCAGTATATGTATATATATATATACATATATATACATATATATATATATATACATATATATATATATATATATATATTTATATATTTATATATACATGTCAGAATCAATATATACAATGCCTTTACCTGTATGTGTGTGTGTATATGTGTGCATATATATATATGTATGTATATATATATATATGCACACACATGCGTTGCTCCAGGTGCAAGCACGGTGCATGTCTTACCAAATCCCAGAGAAACACCGCTCCTCGTTGAGCGTGTGGTCCTCCAGGTCCGGCTCTTCCTCAGGCTCTTCGTACTAAGATCTTTCTTGGGGTGTTATTTGGGTTTGTACGGTGGGTTTTGGGGAAGTTTCTGGTTGGGATGGACACACAGTAAGTCGGTGTCTGAGGCAGCGTTTGCTTCGGAAGGCCTTTACTGTTCCCCGGCAGCAGGCGCGGGTGTACCTCTATCGTTTTGGCAGTTTCACAGATCGCAGCGCATCCCAGAGCGGCGCAACTTGCATCCTCACTACAACAAGTCTGTCAACAAAAGTTTGGCTGGATAGCTACTGTGTTAAACATCTTTGTCAATGAGAGAACTCTTGATGTTGTGATGGCGCTGATGTTGCGTCTCCTTGTCAGCCGTCTTCCTTGCACACCTTCGGATAGCCACGACTTGAAGGATGGTTGGATGGTTGTGCGTGACCGGGCTGTCGTCAATCAGCAAAGGCCCATGAGCTAGGAGGAGAGTTGTACTTTGCACCCGACCCGAAACTGCTCAAGCCGATGTACGCCTTTACGGCCTGAGCCCCAAGGCTTCCTCATGCCACTTTTATGCGGCTATGTCATTGGCACTGGTCTCAGTAAGGCTTTCGGCACCAGTGCCAGCAACATGGTCACACCTGCTTTTTCCGCCGGGTCCTGGGCCAGCACCAGGTCGGCCAGGCTTGCCATGGCTCGAAGTGCTTCGCCGTAGCGGAATTTGCAGAAGAGAACTTTGAACTTCAACTGTGATGTAATCTGTCGTAGGGAAAGGCATGACCATTCCATCGAAGCTGGATCGATGGTGAGGGGGCTTTGCTTGCACGCTCTTGCTGTCTGACCCGACCCATGCTCCACGTGTCGCATGGTGTGAGGCTGAGCGGCAGCAAGCGGAAACAGTGCACGTGCATCTGCGGATCTGTGATAATGATTTGCCATGGCACCACGGCCCGCGCCCAAGTCGCAATAGCATTTGCTGCCAGGAGCTGTGTACTGCATTGAAAACATGGTCCTCGTGCTGCGGCGGCGCAGGAGATCTCTCTGCTCATGGTCAGAGTTCCATCGAACCTGCGACGGCACAGACGCACATTCCAAAGCTGCCGACAAAGACCCCATGTCGACAACGACTCATGACGACGACAGCAGCACAAGGAAGGTTACTCAACTTGACGAGGAAATCACGCCGCATTTCGCAGTTTCCCAGCAACCAGTCTACGTGATTACCATAAGGCAAGAGTCCAAATTCAGGGGTCTCCTTCCAAGTCGACAACTTGCTGTAACCTGCACAACGGAACCGGGGCCAATCAAAAGGATTCCTGATTCATCAGTCTGCCCATAAGGCCTAGAACGTTACGAGCACCGCGCCCATGGCTTGGGGATAGGATCTTGGGAGCTTGGGACACCCCTCCCCCCCCCCCCCCCCAAGAGCTTGGCTACTTTGCTACAGCTGCAAGAGCGACGTCGCTAAAAGGCGCCCGGCCCGAGGAGTCTCCGCACCTCCTTGCGACGAGGCTTCGAAGAGGCGCAGAGGCGGCGCAGAGGCAGAGCCATGGCAGGGCCCAGCTTTGGCGCTTTGGGGAGTCGGGGGAGTCTCTGAGTCTGCCCTTCTTTCCAGGGGGGGTCGGGGGGAGGGAGGGGTGGGGTGGGTTCCTGTAAAGAAGCATCTTCAAATCACCTCAGGAAAAGGCGAGGACGTTCACATGTTGATCAGCTCACAGGATTCACAGGGCCAGGGCTCGACTGCTCGAAGGACAGAGCCAAAAGAGGGCCAGAACCAGCGGCCCAGCGGAGCTTGCATCGCCAGCCGCCAGTATCGTAATGATCTAGAGAAGCAAAGGTCCAAAAGATTGTGCAAAAGACCATCAACGCCATCGTGTTGATCTAGATCATAGATCTGAATCAGGGAATGCTGCTTGTCGTTGTCATAAGACTATCCGACAGGCGGCCCAAGGCCCAAGACCTTGCACATCGTACTCGGCATTGTTCTCGGAGTGCTCCATGTAGTCGGCCTCGTCGTTGCCACGCTGAAAGAGAGGGGAGGGCCCGTGCCGCACAGGGCTCCGGCGAAGGGCTGCCGCAAGGGGCCGTCCACGGCGACCTCAACAGTCGTTAAAGGTGAAGCGAGCGACAGCTCTTTCTTGGGCCTCCTCTGAGGCTCTTGCCAGGAAGCCCTGTCCGCCCGGCTCCAGGGCGTGCTGCCACTCGACCTGGACTCAGGGGCTTTCCTGCATCCTTCTCCTCTCCCTCGCCTCGCATCCTGAGGCAGCTGCACGCACTTCACGGTCATCGATGGCATAAACGCCTGGGCAAAGACCTCAGCAGACAGGATGGAACAAAGACGGGACTCGAGGGCTTCCCAGAAAATGAAGCACGCCGAGCCGCGGTTCACAGAGTGGTGGGCAGCCACCTCGAAAGCCCAATTTGCCACGGCTTCTCAGCTCTGCTGGCACTTTCTTCGCGCACAGGGAAACTTCAGCTCTGTGCATCCTTGTGATGCCGCAGATAGTACGCCACGTGCTGATCCAACAGGTCCTGCCAAAGAATCGGCAGCCGAAGATCGCAGAAGGTCATGCTGGCACAGGTGTAGGCACTCTAATCAGACAGAAGGAAAACAGGTGTTCCCGACATTTCCCGACTCCTCCGGGTCAGCATCGTACGCCGCCGACTTCCTGGCAGGAGCCAAAGCTTTCTTAGCACAGGCATCTATAAGCAATCTGCGTGCAGAAGCACAGAGTCACAAAAAGAGGCCGAAGCCCAAGATCCCCAGCAGACGATCGACTGCTCCGCTCGGCCTGAGGTTGCCGGAACTCGTCAGCCTCCAGGGAGAAGAGAGACACAGAGACACAGAGACAGAGACAGAGAGAGAGAGAGGGGTCTCTGCTCTGGTGCTCTGCCGGCTCTGTGGTTGGAGGGTGCCTTGGAGTTTTCATGTGCTCACGATCCGGAGTTCGCCATCTACCTAATCCCATTCCCCCACCCACAAAAAAGTGCTGGACGCGTGCCTGGCGTGCTTCGGAGACTGGCTGCTGGAAGCCGTTTGCCTGCTCGGTGCAGTTCCGAGCGACTGGGTGGATGCTGCTAGTGTCGTCACAGCAACCACTTACCCCGGCTTCCAACAAGCCCTCTACTCAGGATGCCGATCGCTTGATGTAGGGAAGTCTGGCGGCCAAGGTGCCCACAGACTTTACAAAGAATGAATTACCTGCAACTGTTGGGCAATGGACTGCAAGGAACGATCAGCCGCTTTCAGCGACCAGCCAGCTTGTTTTCACAAACCTTGATGCTAAACGCCAGACGGGATAAGCTCTGGCCCTGACACCCAAAACACAAAACCCTGCAAAGCCTGTAAACCTTAACGCCCTGACGTTGGCCTGATCTCCTCAGGCTGCGTCTTTGGGCTGCTTGATGGCCTCGATACGAGAAGGACGGGAATGCTCTTCTTAGCAGAGCTGTGAACATGTCTGAACCACATTTCCCGACACAAGTCTACATACTCGAAGAGCCATGCACGCGAGTCCGCATGCTTTGCCATCTTCTCATCCGTACAAGGATATATTTGCATATTTCCTAGACGGTAGGCACTGGGGGTTTGGGCTAAATACAGCGCCCCGGATCCGCAGGTGATCTGCCTCCCGCTCTGGGAAATCAGGTTGCACATGCCCTGCGCTATGCTTCAGGAACTTCGGCATTGCGAAATTTATAAACACGGTATAGATTGAGTACATACTCACCAAATAACGCATGCATCTACACAGACATTTATGTGCCTGGGCAGGTGGGCTTCATTCACACCTCTTCCAACTGCCATTTCAGACCCTCCAAAGGAAACTCCAGAAAGTTGGAATATGGTTTCAGGGTAGGATACCCTACAATTGACCATAAAGGGTTTAGGATAATCATATTCCAACTTTCTGGCTTTTGCTCTACTGCCCCGAGCGATCTCCAATCTGGGAGAAGGACCGCACGGGCGCATCTTCCGGCCACGGGTAGGCTGCTTGCCTGGAGACAAAGGATCCAACAAGGGTCCTACCACGGCTTAACTAGCCCATCCCCAAGCCCAAAAACCCAAACCCCAAACTCTAAACTCCCAGGTCAGCGGTCAGCGGTCTTTCTCCACAGAGCTTCGCGTCTCAGGACTTAGAGAAGAGCTCACGACGACCCTGCGACGGTTTACAGTTGCGGCCCGGCCGAGGCGGGCGACCCGAAGCGTTGACATTTATGCATTTCGCGCCATGTGCTATGCTACGTACTGTGTGCCATGTGATATGTAAGATGTAGGATGGGACATGTAGTCTTAGTATCCGCAAAACGACTTATGCGAAAGATACCATGTACATACAGTGCTTATAGATGTCCTGCGTAAACACGCATACATCTTGGTACGTACCTACGACAACAAAACACACACACACACACACACACACACACACACACACACACACACACACACACACACGTACGGATCTCACAGATCTCCCAGACAGGGACACACTCTCCCTGTCTGATGTCTCGTGTTTTCCTAACACTTCTGCTCTTCGGCTGCGCGCCTTTGTTCGCCTCCGTCCGCTTCCATAGGCGGCTTGGAGGCCACGGACGGAGCCTCGGGCGGATTTCACCGTTCGTGCTGCCCGTGGCAGCAAGTGCTTCATTCCGAGCAACCTACTAAGATTCATAAGTGAGGTCAACGCACAGCGCCAGAACTCAACTTGTACGGCCGATGCCACACGGCAGGGGGGGAGGGGTACAAGAAGCACGGGCCTACACTGCGTGATGAGACTCACTGACCCTTTGTCTTCCTCAGACGTGGGCTCGTTGTGAACGGATGCTCATGTCCTCCGGGTACAGGACGACGCTCACATCCTTGGCTGGCACAACACTAGGGAATTAGCTCAAGAAGCAGGAAAAGCAGAAGAGCAGTAAAACCATAGGAAAAATGACTGCTCTGAGTCACCTCGTGGCCTGGCTCCGGCTCCGGGTCGGGACTCTGTCCTGGAAAAAACCGGTCATGAGCGGCTTCCCAAATCGAGCACTTTCTTGCAGAGTTACTCAAATGAAAACGGACAAAGCACTAGATAATTATGGGCAGGACCGGCAACGATGTAGCCAATGTTGAATGATGTAGAAGGCCGAAACCGTAGAGAAGAGACCAGAGACAAAGCATAGAGCAAGGATTGAAATTGTACTGACGAGCACTATGGGAAGAACAAGGGCGAAAAGTCGAGCAACTCCCAGAGCATCAACAACGATAAGTTGAATGCCTCATTTGCAAACGCATGGTTCGGAAGTGTCGTGTAGCCAGCCATTGGTCCACGGCCAGTCAAACAAGCATCAAAATAATCTGCTAAAGCAGCCGGAACCGGAACCATGGCGAAGCTGATTCTGGCAAGACAATGGTTGAACACAAAGTCTGCATGACATGTGGAACCACTCGCTAGGTCCCACAGAGACACCACCGCTCAACCAATGGATACTCCAAAAAGATCACGATGTTCATTTTGTAGGGCAGCTCTTGCGGCGTGCAACTGCACTATATAGTCACTATCACCATACATCCCCTGCTTGCAACCTCTTGCACCATGTCCATGTGCAGACATCAAGCCATTCTGGTGCTTAACGGCGGTGGTCCTGCCGCTCCCGCGCCGGCTCCTTCCTGGGCCTGGGTCCTTCCGGGAGGATCGGATCAGCCACGAATCCGGAATAACCACTAAACATATTGGGGAAAAAAGATCCCCAATATGTTTAGTACCCCTTCGTAGCTTCAGCTTCAGAAAGCCCCGTTGCGCGTTGCCCGCTTCGACCCCTCGGGTCATCGACTCCTCGGCTGGTTCGCGGCGCCGCGGCGGTCCGGGCGGCGTCGCTCAGGGCTGCACCTTCCCAGAGCACTCATGGACCGTGGGGGGCCTTATGACGTTCGGCACGGCGGAGCTGCATCATGGGGCTGTGTCACTTCTTCGTACAGAATGTAATCTTTACCCCCAAGTCGGAGGAACAGCCTGGTTTCGAGCACGTTGGTGCAGTCACCTGCCACCAGCGAGGCACCAGCATGGAATAGGGCGCAGGGCCATGATTTTTACTTTCGTAGCGAGTCCAGACGATGACGATTGCTGTTGCCGCCACGACGAAATGCGGCGAGCAAAGCTACACCGGGATCCGATGAGAACTGAAACATGTACATAGCTGTAGAACTCCTCTGAAGCCACCGTGGCCGTATCAGAACCTAGCGGAGTGAGAATCCCCAAAACCCAGCTTTGCAGGACGCAGAATCTGCGCCTCCGGGTGCGAAGTTTGAGATAAAGTCGCTGAAGCTGTGTGACAGCGAGCGGAAACTGGAGACACCTGAAGCGAGTCTCGGCAAACGTGTGGCTGTGCTTCTACAGTCGGGCGTGCAAGTATTGTGGGCCAGTGTCGCGAACCTTGACATGTCAAGGATCACAGCGAAGCGCGTCTAGCCGGAAGAAGGAAGTTGTGCGCTCTTTAAGGCATTTGCGAAGCCAGTGAACAGCCCTGGACAATTGCATCAGGAAGTCTGGAGTCTGAGTCTGGGCGGCCTCCAGCTGCAGCCTGACTGGACCTGAGAAGAACCGAAGAGGCGAAGAGGCTCTGCACACGGAAAGTGGTCCTGAGTCTTGGAGCTGTGCCGGCTCGCGCCTTTTTCTCCCGCCTCCTTCTGATTACAAGGTCGCGGTGAATAGCCCCAATCATCCTCGATCTTGATCAGGCGGAAAGATGTCGGGTGACCCACTCAGGCCGTGACTTCTCGACTGGCTACCCTGGCTCCTGGCTGCCACTTGTCACAGGCTCTTTCTTCACGTGTCTTTGCCTGAGCCGGGCCTTTTTTTACAAGGGAATCACACCTTGCAAACTGTGCACTTCGGCAAGGCATGAAACGCGAGAGGAGAGGCTCCTGACACAACCGGCCGCGGCGGTGGTCCGGAACTGAAGATGTGACACTTCACAGAGCCACTGCGACCCCTTCCGCTTCTGCGAGGTCTGCTCTGGCACGGGCTAGGGCCGCTCGGGCTACTGGACGACACAGGCAGTCGCAGCGCTTCTCTGGCTTCGCATGGCTTCGCAGCGCGCACTGAGGCACAGAGGCGTCCGGCGTCGGGCCTCAATTCGGAGCCTAGCCTTTGGTGTCTTGGCGCAAGCCTGTTGTGCTGCTGTACGACCCAGTACTTCCACTTCCGCTTGGAGCAAGGCATACCAACACCGGACGCACTCAGTGGGCGCTGCGCCCGTTGGCTTCTCACTCCTCGTCGCCTTCCTGGGTCAGCAAGCACTTGAGCCGTTCACTTCGGCACGATTGAGGCCGGCGAGGAAGCCCTTCCCACCTCACCCTCCTCGGCAAGCTCTTCATCTTCGGCTTGAGCGGCCATGCGCCCTCCACCGCTCTGCTTGTGGTTGATCACCGCCTTTCGACTACGCCTACGCTTGATGCAAACAGACCCCGAAAGCGAGTTTGTCCGCGTCCCTCCTTGCAGCCCTCGGAGACTGCGTGCCGGGAGAGCTCTCCGGGGAACACCAGACGCACGGCCGACTGGATGTCACCTCTCAGATGCCCCTGTTATAGGTCTAGCCACTCAGGAAGTAGTTCAGAAGCCGACACCGCCCAAAAGAGCCAGGCGGCGGGTGTTGATGGAATGCGAGCCGCTCCGCCGGCAAAGCCTGTTCGCCTTGGAGGCACACACTACTCGCATCATGCGGTCCAGCACATGGACTAATACGCGAAAGCTCACACAGCCATGCTAGCTCATGCCTGGCAGGGTTTACCAGAGTTTGTGCACAAAGCAGAACAGCACAGCAGAACACAGCACTCCATCTTGCAGCAGTCACTGCATTGATGCTATACGGTGCAATGGCATGGCCTGTAACATTTCTTTGTGCCATAAAACAGTCAAGATGCTGCAGTGCAGCCAGTGCAGCCTAATGCTAGAAAACCTAGCATCCTGTCTTCGGTCGGCTCGTCTTTGCCTGGTGTGTCGTACTATGTACCGTGGCACGCATTGAGCTGCCTGCCTGCATGGAGATGCGGTCAAAGGTATCTTCGACGCACGAGACCATCACCGTCATGGCCTCTGTCTGTCGAAAGGACAGACAACGAACAGCTCTGAGAGGTGCTGACTGCTTATAGCATAGCTACGAACATGACAGCGTCTCTGTGTATATTGATCGGTCTACTTCTGCAAATGCGTGTATATACAAACGCACATGTATACTGTATACACATACATACTTTAGCTCACAGATCTAGGCCAGAATCTAGGCTAACGGCTCGAA